TCATAATCAGCTGCAACAACTCGTACTTATTATTTCTAAGTATGTACCGCAAACATGCTGTCTTATGCCTTTTAATGGTGGTCAAAAGTTCTCTGTCCCTTCCCATTCTGTGTAACACCATTCCGTTCGTAATATGATCGGTCTATGGTGTCTTCAAAATTCTCCTAAAAAACCACATCTCAAAAGCTTCCAGTTTTCTCATTAAGTCAACTTTAACAGTCCAGGCTTCGACACCATAAAGAAGAATAGAGTGGATATAACATTTTACCATCCGATATCGGATTTGCAGATCTAGTCTTTGGTTACTCAGAAATTTCCTCATCTTCAACAAGGCTGCTCTTGATTGCTCTATTCTGCAAAGACTGGTCCACAGATTTAACATAAAACCAAAAGAATGACAATGTCCTGAAGCTATTTTCTTGTGGCATTGTAAATTAATTACTATTTAACTGGGAATAAGCCACAATTAAAGATAAAAATACGTTTATTGACGTTTCAATTTCCACTTCGGAAATTTGTCCATGATCCGAGAAAGATTACAATATCATAAATCGAATTTATTTTTTGTTGAACACGATATTGTAAGTATTGAAGATTTGCTTTTCAATGTGATATCAAATTCTGATTTTGATCAAATTATATTTAGTTTACATATAGTATATGAAAATTCATATAGAAAACAAAGAAATATACATTTAAATAAATTTAATATTCTTTTAGAACAAAACAGTATACACACTTTAGATAACCTCAATAGAAATGATGACATATTAGCGACAGTTGCCAATCTATCAAATAGACATTTAAATGCAACGGAGAATTTAATACTGTCAAAGGGTCTAAACTTTGCTATTACTCAGCCATCCGTTCCAAAATTAGACATAATAAGCTCAGTGGAGAAAATATCTCAATGCTTACCAACCCACGAAAAGGAAGAATACAGAGTGTTATGTAAACTTGAATTGGAAAAATCTACTAAAATTGAACAAAACATAAGCAAAGAGGAACTAAAGGCTAGGTATTTTGAGAACGATTTCCGAAGTGGAAATTGAAACGTCAATAAACGTATTTTTATCTTTAATTGTGGCTTATTCCCAGTTAAATAGTAATTAATGACAATGTCATCTCAGAAAACTAAAAGAATAGTATTGTTCTGAAGCTATTTTCTTGTGGCATTTTAAAGTAATTACTATTTAAATAGGGATAAGCCACAATTAAAGGTTAAAATACGTTTATTGACGTTTCAATTTCCGCTTCGGAAATCGTTCTCAAAATACAAACATTAGTGATTCCCCTTGTCTGCTGGTAGGATGATTATGGAGTCGTCATTTTTTAAAGTTCTTATAGCCTTTATTTATACGTCCAGTATATCCGAATCATGGTGTAATGACAATAATATAAATTCTTTTTATCTTTCTAATGCTCTCTTGTAATGATTCGTAGTACTTTTTTGATTATTTTTAGGTTATTACATTTTTATATTTATATAAAGTCGATATTCGACTTTAAAGGTAAAAAGGAATTATAATAGGTTTCCAAGACATTAACAATCGATTTCAAAATAAAGTTTCTTGTTGTCGATCAAAAACATTTGTCACCCTAAGAGAATTGGAATTTTTAGAGTTTGTGAAATTTCCGTGGCAGTTACAATGGCTTTACTATTTTTCGATTATATTACGAAAGATAATTTATTAGGAAATTCCACGACGAACAAATTATATCTTGTATCAACACAAGCCAAAATGCCAACATCAGAATAAACAAAAACTTATTTTCATCTATGGTTCATCAATACGATTTTCACCAGTACTTTTCGTTGTGCGATGTATTTGCAACCTTTTGTAAATCAAAAATAATTACACCATTTAGAATGTCAACAAAAGCCGGAATTATTTTTTCAGTGCAATATTTCATATTTATTGAAAGTCAACATAAATACTCAATTTTATTAAAAAATTTATATTGTGTGATATGCCCACTGACTATTAGTTTTCTGGTTGCTTAACTGTCATTGGCACTCATTGGCGGCTTGCGCACGCAACTTCAAAGGAGTGTCGCTTCTCTGTGTTCGTTAGTTTTCTGCTAATATGTCATCATTTCTATTGAGGTTATCTAACGTATGTATACTGTTTTGTTCTAAACAATATTAAATTTATTTAAATGTATATTTCTTTGTTTTTTATATGAATTTTCATATACTATATGTAAACTAAAAATAATTTGCTGGACGTAACTTCAAGCCCTTTGGTATTAGATTGTTGTCTCTACATCTTCGTAAAAATTTAATTGGATTTTGACAATAAAACAATAGTAGTCAGCAAAGAACCAACCAGATGTAAAAAAGATTTTGGTGGCATCAGTATTGAACAAGTAATGAAAATAAAATACCTGGGAATTACACTGTCCAGCTATGGAGACCTGAACGAAGAAGTGAGAGATTAAGTACAAAAAGCAAATAAACTGGCAAGATGACTTAATAACACTATATGGCGAAACAGACACATTAACACTGAGATATAGTCAAGAATTTATAAAGCCAGTGTAAGACCAATAATGACATATGCCTCAAAAATAAGACCCGACACAGCTTCAACGCAAAGTTTACTGGAAACGGCAGAGATTAGAGCACTGAGAAGAATTAGAGGAAATACGCTGAGAGATCGAGAGAGAAGTGAAGACATTAGAAGAAAATGTAACATACAGCAACGAACAAGCATAATTGCTTATAACGAGGAAGAAGAACTATAACCTTAATTGAATTAGTCCAGGCTGTGAGGCCGCTCCGTTGGGAAAATATTTCTGATTCGGTTTCTTTGCGGATTCCGGTTCAAAAATGTCCCCTTTAAACAAATCTGAAGGGTGCCGGGCGAAATTTTTGGGCAGACATTGTTTAAACAATTTTTTTTAAACAAATTCCAAAATATTTTTTTTAATCTGTAAAACGTTTTTTTAGGTTTTTTGGGTCATTTTAAACAAAAAAGGTCTCTTGTCATTTTTCTCTAAAGTTGATAGTTTTCGAGTTATAAGCGATTTAAAGTCTGAAAAACGCGAAAATACGATTTTTGAGGCTTAAAACATATATGTAAATTATTATTTTTGAGGTTACCAAGTGTCTAAATTGAAGTTTAAATATTCAACTTCAAGATTGTGAAGAGTAATCGGGGCTTATTTTAATTTAGACCGTTGTTTTTTAATTGTTAAGTATGCGCGTACACTCGATTTTTCAGCCGCCGCGGCGCCGCGCGCTACCGTGCGCCTCTATCGTACTTATGCATAGTTTACATATACTTACAAATAATTATTATTTATTGAGTATATATTATATTTATATTTAAAACAACGGTCTAAATTAAAATAAGCCCCGATTACTCTTCACAATCTTGAAGTTGAATGTTTAAACTTTGATTTAGACACTTGGTAACCTCAAAAGTAATAATTTACATATGTGTTTTCAAGCCTCAAAAATGCGTATTTTCGCGTTTTTCAGACTTTAAATCGCTTATAACTCGAAAACTATCAACTTTAGAGAAAAATGACAAGAGACCTTTTTTGTTTAAAATGGCCCAAAAAACCTAAAAAAACGTTTTCCAGATTAAAAAAAATTATTTTTGGACTTTGTTTAAAAAATTGTTTAAACAATTTCTGTCCAAAAATTTCGCCCGGCATCCTTCAGATTTGTTTACAGGGGACATTTTTGAACCGGAATCCGCGAAGAAACCGAATCAGAAACATTTTCCCAACGGGAGCGGTCTCACAGCCTGGACTAAATAATAAAGTTGATATCATATATAAAATGTTAATTTAATAAGAACTGTAAATATAATTTATAAGAGAATTGGTACAATATAAAATATATTGAGACGTCAGTGGTCATGGTTATAACCAGTCTAATGGAAACTGTACAATATAGTCAGTCATAAGCTGTTTATTTGATGTAGGGTATATAGAATTTAGATTAAAATTAAAAGTTCAAATTTAGACAAATTATATGAGTTACAACTTACATATCAGACAAAAGAAGGCTCTTCTAGGATGTTTAATACTGTAGCTCATCACTATTCGGAAGGAATCCATTGATTCACAATTGGATAATGTAATATTCTGTATATTGTACATGACTAAGCCATATGTAAAAGAAAGTTATTGTCTTCTCTTATAAAAATACTAATATAATATTTTCATGATATGAAAATATAATATTTTGAACTTTTAGATAATTCGAATGTAATTATAATTTCGAATTGTTTCTAATTCCCTGTGTCCGACGATCGAAGATGATAAAATAAAATGTTGAAGTCGTGAAGAAAATCTAGTTTTATTGACAGCTACTGAATTATTACGATATAGTTGTTGTTTATGTAAGAATTAGTGTATTTCCCTCTGCATAAAACAAGAACCTTTGACTTTTAAAAGCTGACAAATATAATTTGAACCGAGGAAATGATTGCAGACATTTCCTCAATAATATTAGGTAACAGTTAGCAGGAAGTTGAACAAACTGCAATTAAGCTACTAATCGATATGTTTCACAATTATACACGGTGAAACTATACAAATTCAGAAAATTAAGATTAATGTGAGATTACAAGTTAATGGACCAAAGTTGTGCAGATTATCTTTACAAACATTTTGGTATTTGCCGGGAACGAGAGAGTTATGGGTTAATAGAAAAATAAAGCACTTTTTGGGCATTCGCCGCTCTCCTAGCATGGTAGTTTCATTCTGGAATTTCGGATAAATATTTCTCTGAAAAAAGAAATTCAAAAAAAATTGATGATTGATAGTTTTTAGGGTGTAAAGCCCGATTAGAGAACTTATTCTCTTGTCTGTTGTCGGTATACTATGAACATTGATCTGTGTTAAATAATTGTTGCTTCATTTGTAATTTATTTATTTCTTAATAAGAACGTATTCCCTCAAGAATAACAAGTTCAAGATATTAAACAGTGGAAAAAATGTAATTGAAATGGAATTGAAAATAAATACTCAAATTTACTGATAGGAAATTTACTATAAATAAAAAAGATCATTAATATCAAACATACATTATAACCAAGAGTACAAAATACACAATTGGAGATTCATTAATCACTTTACGCATATATTTAATGCTTGTTTTGTATGGATCCGTCTAAGTATACAGTGTTAGTGATTAAAAATATATACAAAAATTAACAACCTGTGTCTTAACAAATTTTAACGGATGTTTACACTAACAATATTAACAGCCTTTAACCTACTCTCTTCTTCATCAGCCATGGTGGTAAACTGATAGATTTACTCGTCTGTCCTGCAGAAATTGTTGTGAGCTTTTCCTGTTCAGGTTGTGGAGTTACGTATTCTTTGGATGCGTCGTTCTGTTTTCGACCATCTGCATCAATAGATGAAATTATATTATCGGTTTCTTCGAGTATTATTGTATCATCTGAGTCGCTGCTTGCATCTTTATTTCTCGGGGGAGAATTTAGAAGCTCGGAAAAATCATATTTGGTTTTTTTTAGTATTGGTTCATTTTCATCTTTGTCTCCACCACTATCTTCTTGTTTTTGAACATTTGATAATACCTCATCAAAAGAACTGTTATTTTTTTCTTTAAATTCTTTATCTTTTTCTGTTTGACTTTGCTCTTCTTTTCCTTCATAAAAATTGCAAGCATTAATTAGTAAATCATCAGAACAATTCGAATTTTGTGAATATTCTTGATCAAGACCATTTTTATCTACTTCTTCCAACCCTTCAAGAAGCGTATTAAGTTTTTCCGTTTGACTTTGTTCTTCTTTTCGTTTCTTAGCCAATATGTACATTTCATAATATTCCGGATCATCGTCTTCTTCATACAAGGCATTTTTCTCATTCAAGTGCTCCCGAATTTGTAGATATGTTGTCAATGCTCTTATTTGACCGAAAGTAACACTTTCTGGGCAAGCGAATTTTATCGGTGTTAAAACAGTTAAACCTAGAAAATAAATAAAACGATATATAAACAGCGGCGCATAATAAAACTCTAAATATTAAAAACTTATTTACATATAAAAAATGTGTTTTGTAAGGGAAATAGTAGTTTTAAGTGTAGAGTGTTGAAAAACGCAAAACAATAAAATTATTAGTGCATACTTGAAACAAAAAAAAAATTTAACTTAGCAGATGGTGAAAACTGTCGCCTCGAATATTTTTGCAACATCCTAATTTTAAAATAAAACTTTGTTCTAACAGTTTTCAATATATGCGCTGCGACCAACCTACCGATCGGTTCAGGTTGGTATTGCAAAATAACTCCAGTAATGATCGAGGAACAAACAAACAAAATGAGTAGAAATGGCAAGAACAACCCTAATCAAGATAAGAAACTGTGTACTGTGTATTCTGTATTACAGAAATATAAATTCAAAACAGAGTAGAAATGACAAGAGCAAACCTCATCAGGATAAGAAATCTGCTAACAAACCTCTCTACCTCCCTCTCTGTCTCACCCTCTCTGTCTCCCTCTTTCTCGACCCCTCTCTCCACACGCTCCCTCTCCCTGTCTCACCCTCTCTCTGCCTGTTTCACCCTCTCCCTTCCTCGCGCACTCCCTCCTTCTCTCTCTCAGCCCCTCTCTCAACCTCTCAGGCTCACTCACCCTCTCTCACTCTCTCCATCTTTGCCAATATGCGGTTTAAAAGTTTACCGAAAGTTTCTATGGCGACCTATTTATTTATAATAATTTTTAAACAAATTATAAAAAAATATTTTTTTTTGCTTTAAAACCAAATTTTTTTAACAATTTGTCTTATTTTGTTATTTTAAAACGAAAGTTATTCGTATGATTTTTTCGTAAAATGCTTACTTTAAGAATGCAAATAAACAATTAAAAATTCCGAAAAAAGCCAATTTTAGCGTTTTTCAAGACCGTTTTCGATAGGTTGGACATCGAATTAAAAAAAAAAAAAAAACAAAAAATATAAGACGAAAACTTAAGTCAAGTAGTTTCTAAATGTGAAGTTCCATTTCGATTTTATATTGCAAAAATCATTTTTCATCATTATCATTTATATACAAGCTTATTCTTGTTTTAATCGAAAAAATATTATGCTACAACATTACAGTAAAAAGTTCACCCAAAGTTTACCACCAGATCCTAATTATTTCTAACAAGAAAATTATTATAATTAAATATTTCAGATTTCTATTACATATAACTAGTCTATATTATATAGATATAACTAGTTACAGAGATCTTGAAGAAGAAGTACGACAACAAAGCTAAAAAGCAAGTAAAGCGGAGGGTTCTCTTAATGACACAATCTGGAATAACAAACACCTAAGACAAGACACAAAAACAAGAATCTAAACGAGACGACTGCTAGAAACAACAGAGATGAAAATACTCCGACGAATATCAGGGAGAAGTCTATTGTATAGGGAGAGAAGCGAAAACATAAGAAGAGCATGCAATATAGAAGACATAAATGGATGGGTGACAAAACGAAAACAGGAGTGGAATCATGGACGTATAAATAATGAGTGGAACGAACACATCAGTAGAATGGCAGAGGATAGAATAGTACGAATAGTACGAGATAAGTCACCAAATGGACGAACAAGTATTGGCAGACGAAGAAAAAGATGGTGCGACAATTTAAACAATTTAGGAGACTAATATTGAAGAAGAAACAGGCTTTAAAGCCTACCTACTAGAAGGAAGAAGAAGAAGAAGATTTCTATTACGATTAAAAGCTAAAAATGTTAAATCTTAGTTTAAAATGTAGAATATTTTTTGTGTCTCACCAAAAAAGTTTTTTCAGTTTAAATAAAAAAACGATAGTTAATCGAAAGTATAAATTTGGAATGGTAACAACGAAGGTCACATTCGCCACAAAGTGCAAAAAAATAATACAACAGTCAGAAAGCTAGAGAAGATCGAGCACTGGGCTGGAAAAAGTCATTCAAATGCTGATGTTCAATCAAGACGGCCATACAGCGCAAATCGTAATCATTGTCTTGAATTAGAAGAACGACTTTGCCCCGTGAGGCGAATCACCGTCATTAATGATCAATGGCAGCCTCAACAGCTACAAGACACTCAAGCAGATGATCCATGTATAAAAAGAGTATTGGATTGGGTGCGTCGAAGTGAAAGACCTTCTAGGCAAGACATTAGTGCATGTAGTCCCGAAGTCAAGTGTTACTGGAGCCAATGGAATTGCCTAGTGCTGAAAGACGATGATGGTACAGAAACTAAGCTTCAGTTGATCGTACCTAAAAGTAAAGTGTCAGAAGTATTGCGTCAGTTGCATGACGGTGCATCAGGTGGACACTTTGGTATTACGAAGACTCTGCAAAAGGTTCGAGAACAGTTCTATTGGGTGAACTGTAAAAATGATGTAAGAAGATGGTGCCGGAAATGTGAACTGTGTGCAACTAGTAATGGTCCAGTTGGTAAAAAGAGGGCACCCATGAAACAGTACAATGTTGGTAGTCCTATGGAGAGAGTAGCAATCGACATTGCAGGTCCACTTCCAGAGACGAATGATGGAAATAAATATATCCTGGTAGCCATGGATTATTTTACGAAATGGACTGAGGCCTATGCGATACCAAATCAAGAAGCTGCTACCGTTGCAGAGGTACTTGTTAAAGAATTCTTTAGCCAATTTGGTGTTCCCTTGGAGATCCACTCCGACCAAGGGCGAAACTTCGAGTCAAACCTTTTCCAAAACGTTTGTAAATTGATTGGTGTCAATAAGACCAGAACGACACCCCTTCATCCTCAATCAGATGGAATGGTCGAGAGAATGAACCGAACGATGGGTAAACACCTGTCCAAAGTTGTATCAGAACATCAAAGAGATTGGGACCAGCACATTCATTTATTCCTAATGGCCTACCGCTCGGCCGTGAATGAAACTACGGGCCAGACTCCAACCTGCCTGATGTTTGGTCGTGAAGTTCGTTTGCCCTGCGACCTAGAGTTTGGCTGCAGACCTTCCGAAGAACATGTTGCAAGCGAAGATTATGTCGACCGCCTGAAGTTAAGAATGAACAACATTCATGAACTTGCCCGACAACACATCCAGTGACAATGAAAGATCAATACGATTCTCATATCATAGCAAGAATGAAAGCTATAAAGTAGGTGATCTTGTTTGGCTTTATAATCCACAACGTCGTCGTGGCTTGTCTCCCAAACTGCAAAGACAATGGGAGGGTCCGTATGAAATTAAAAAGAGAATAAATGACGTAATATACCGAATTGAGAAGTTGCCGAAAGGTAAACCTAAAGTAGTTCACATAAATCTTCTTGTACCTTATGCTGGCTCAAATGAAACCGAAGAAGTCCGAACCCTTGAAAATAAGATCAAAGATGATCGGCGACCAAGCTTTAAGGAGTTTATGTCAATCTTGAGACGACTAAAGGAATCTCATCTGTATTTTATAAGAAGTTCGGTCGTTTGGACGAGTTAAAAAACCAGCAGCCTAAAGTTGGAAGAGATTAGAAGATGGTTCTCGATCTTTGCTGTATATGGTGACCAGGAAGTCGTATACAGCTAGGGCAACCTACGAGGATATGGTGTGCTCTAACTAATTTGAAGAAAATCGACTGCAATTACGACATTAAGAATTTGGCCTTACCCAAGATAGGCCATGCACTAGATAATCTGGATTGGAAGATTGTCAGAAGCATGCTTGAAGTGATCTTCCGAGAAACCGGCGTACGAATTACTGTGTGTTGCACTAATCCGAAGAGATCGTGTCCTTCAAAGACAGTAGACTGTTATTTCTTTCTGAGGGGTTCATGCAGAGCTGGAGAGTCCTGTAGATTCCGCCATCCTGGGCCTACATATAGAGTTGCTGATCGGGACGCTCAGATCTAAGAGGGGAGCAGTGTTACGAACATGCTTTCGGCATGACTCATATAACGGTTGCATCTTGAAACGGCTTCCAGAATCATCACCAGATCTCTCGAATGCAAGAGAACAATCGGTCACGTGCGCGAATTAGAGGTGGGAACTTTCTAGAACATAGTAACTTAGGTATATAAATGTAACGAAATTAAGAGTTAAGTGGAGTTGATAAGAGCATACCGAACTATAAAGTTATAAATAAATATATTTATATAAATTCGAACTGCTCGTTTTATTTAAAAACGGTACAATAGCATATTGGCATCATAATCTATCGATTAAAACAAGTTTTAGATTGTGGGTATAATATCGAACTTTTTCGACAAAAGTCACCCGCCTAATTCGGTTCAGTAGTTAAAAATATCGAAAGACAAAACATGTTACGAATACAGAATTAAGACGCTTTAGATTTAGGTACTTGCAACAATCAAAAACGAAAAAACAAACTATCTGAGACATGTTTATAGAGGCTAGATATATGTTTACAAGTGTTCATAGAAGGAAAAACAGATTGTAATAGAGGACCAGGTCGTAGGAAATGATTTTGAATGAACTAGCCTTAGTCCTCAGTAGACTGAGACTCCGGAAGCACTGAAGAAGACAGAGAGGATGTCGAAAGTTCGGCGCAGCGATAATCGATGCGGTTCAACCCGGAAGCGTGGTGATTTTTTAATAATTTAATTCAGTCTTACCTGCATTTGCTTCAAGGATTCCGTTAATTATGGTTTTGGCTAATTTCCTATCTACGTCAAATGTCGACAACTTCACTGGAAGGCCAACTTTCATTGCAGTTGTTAGATGTGTTTCTATCGTAGATATGGCAAACTTCCTAAAATATTCAATACGTTAAATCTTAAGATATATTTTTATAATCTACTATTTAATATTTGCAGTAATAATGGTACCGTATTTCTGAATAATAAATAATTCTTCTTAAAATTTTGGATAAACATTGTAACATTTTGTTTCGCGCTATATATCGTGGGAGTCGAAAAGATTCTTAATCTTTTTGCGTTTCTAAGATTAATAATGTTTCTAAGATTAATAATGTTTCTAAGATTAATAATGTTAACATTTTGGATTCTGTTTATAATAGGCAAATTGCTCTTTCGTTTAATCTCAATTCCGCCTCTAAAGATTAAAATAAAATGAGGATTTCTCATATGGGCTATTTACACATGAAATAAATAGGGATTTAACATTTATGCCGGCGCGAAAAAAAAAGTAATTAGCGGTCGATAAAAGATTGGAATTTGGGTGATCACTTTTAGCTGATGGGAGAATGAAGTTTGTCATCTATTCACTTCCATGTAGACCATCGTAGGGATACGACATATGCTGTTCGTTTGTTTTACGCCAGTTGAGTAAGTAGCCCGTAAAAGAAATAGGAAAATGCTTAATACAGTGCAATACCGCTAGTTTATAACAGCTTAACAAAGAAGATGAAAAAAGTGATTAATTTTAATTAAGTTAAAATATTACAGCAATGCCCATTGGAGCCCATTGGTAAGTTCAAATTAATTTTAAAACTTGTTAGCATGTTTGGAGATACGATCGCAGAATGTGTTCTATCTGGTAAATCAAAGAAATAAACCTGATTTCACTTGTAACTTTGCTGACCTACATATTTAGTGCAGTGAAGATTATTATTTTTACAAGAAATGATATTGTTACCATTTGTAGGCTGAAATTTGGATATGCACGCTTCCTTCAGAACTTATATAAAATCAGTGTAGTTAACACCGAACTTTGTGAAACCTGCAATGGTTTGTGGTTTGCGACATCACATTTCTTATGCTTGTAGTAAATTTGAAATGCAAAGACAAGAACTTATAGTTTATTATTGCAAAACTTGTAACACTCTTTCAATCTACTTCTTTTGTTATCATTATGCAAATTATTCTTATACACATGCCTGTTACTAGCACAATGGCATACCAGTACCTAGCAAACACCAGCTACTGTCCCCAAACTAGCATGTGTGTACGTTGTGCTAGTTCCTGCTGGCATGCTAGCTAATCGTAAAGAATTTGATTTTTCGTGCTAGTAGTATACAAACTATTTATGAGAATTATTAATAACCGGTTAACCTACAAAATGGATAATTACCAACCAGTTGAACAGGCTGGCTTCCGCAAAGGATATAGTACATCAGACCATCTGCTGACAATGAGAACATTGATAGAGAAGGCAAATGAATACCAACTACCCGTATTTCTTGCCTTCGTCGACTATGAAAAGGCGTTTGATATACCTTATTCCATTAAGCGGTGCAGGGCATATAAACAACGATAAATTTAACAGATAATTGTTAAATATGTTCCAAATGAGTCTACTCGTTCCAATAAGTAACAGTATAATTATGACACTTTATTATTTTTTTCTTTTCTCAAATATTCGTGTTTATTGCATAGTAAATAAAATAATGGTATCACTGAATACAAAGTAAGTGAAAAAATACTCCGATTTATAAAATTAATGAATATTTTATGCATAAATGCAAGTAACAGTTCTTCAAAAATATTTAAAAACTAACCGGAATGTCCATCTTTATTTCGTCTGGCGATGTTATCGGCGGTTCATACCGGTTTGGACACGATTTAATGTTTATATTTTCCTGCACCGCTTAATGAATTTTACTATAGTATCGAGATGTGGGCCATAGAACAAGCTATTAATAATTGTAGAATAGACTCGATATATAGGCAACTAATACATAATATATATGAAAATGCAACTATGATAGTACAACTAGACGAAAATACAAATTCAATCCCCATTAAGAGAGGAGTGAGACAAGGAGACGTAATATCGCCAAAGCTTTTCAACCTAGCCCCAGAAGACGTCTTCAAAACTACAAATTGGTCAACCTATGGCATTAACGTTAATAGCAACAAGTTAAACCACCTCAGATTCGCTGACGACATAGTGATTATAGCGAGTACACTCGAGGAACTGCAAATTATGTTGGGGGAACTAGCAGCCAGCTCCAATACGTCGGCCTAAAAATGAATATAAAAAAAAAAATAATGACAAACACAGAAGACCCCAGACATATAACTGTAAACGGCAGTAAGATAGAACAAATCCAGGAATATATCTACCTAGGCCAAATCCTGAGACTTGACAAAGAGAACGGCGGAAATTACTAGAAGAGCAAGACTAGCATGGGCAGGATTTGGAAATCTTATTTGGATACTTAAGAACCGCAAAATACCCCAATACTTGAGGAGCAAAGTGTTCAACCAATGCATCCTTCCTATCATGAGATATGGATGTCAAACCTGGACCCTAATCAATGCAAACATGAATAAACTAGCCACAACAGAAAGAACAATGGAAAGAGCAATGTTAGGTATACGACTGTCAAATAAAAAGAGGAACGACTGGGTAAGATCGAAAACAAAAGTCGAGGACATAACAATAAAAATTGCAAAACTTAAATGGAGCTTCGCGGGCCACACTACTAGACAGAAAGACCAACGTTGGAGACCAACTACAATACAACATTGGAGACCTTACGAAAGTAAACGACCAAGAGGAAGACCACAGATGATATGGGTTGATGACATTAAAAGAATAGCTGGAACAAATTGGAAATATGTTGCTCAGGATAGAGACCGATGGAAGGAGTTGGGAGAGGCCTATGTCCAAACATGGACGACAGAAGGCTAAGAAGAAGAAGAAGAAGTATGCTGTGAGATGCAAGGCGCATGCGTGGAGAGTGTCACTGACATGTGTGAACGCGCGCTACCGCTACGGGCATACCGGTAGCTGGCAGAAAATTGTCAGATTTGTTGTGTTGGTGAGAAAAATAAATAGTTTTTTATTTAAACTTGTTGATTTAAAAATATTTCGTTGGGTTGATTAAAAAAACGATCAATTTATTGCCATATATAGAGAATTGGAGTGTCTTTTGAATTCTAAATCATCTCTATATAAAAATAAAATAGCCCTTGGCTACACACAATGCCTACACAAAAATTCAAGAGGAAATGGGTAATGGTATTTCTATAAAGGAGACAAAGGCCAAAATGAAAAATTGCTCCAAGATTTTGGTTCCTACCAATCCAATTTTTCACCAAAATTTTTCTCTTTTTTGAGTTCCGCTTCGGATTCATTATTAAATGTCTAACAATATCTGTGGTCATTAGCAATATTTGCTTGTTACATTCATTCCGAATACCTTCCATGGATCCGCTTTTTTTGTTGAAAACTCAGAAACTTTTAATTACAAAACAATTACTTTAGTTTCAGATGAAAACCACTCGATTGTTTACTAGCACTGGCATGTGTAAAAATCTACCCAGCTTTTTCGCCTTGCCAGTACAGGCAAGCGAGCTACTGGCATACCAATTACTAGCAAATGTGTTTTGTGCTTGCCAGTTACTAGCTTATACCAGCAACTGGTATGCCAGCTACTTTTCCAATTTACTGGCATGTGTGTACCCGGCTTTATCTATGCTTTCCGTTGGTCTACCCTTTTTGTCTGTCAGTCACCTTGAATGACCACTAGATGCGAAAAGTAATCCTACTAGTTCCCTCCCATCATGGTTCTTCTTTTAATGTCCAAAATAGTAGTGTAGTTTATCAATTAGAATAGTTTAAGTTAAGTGGAATGTTATTACACATTTGCTCCTGACTGGATGGTCATATAATATTTTAGTTGCATTGAATTACATAAAAAGTTGCATTGAATTATTACGGAATCTAATAAATTCCTCATTTCAAAAATTTTATTAAATTGTATCAGAAAATATATATTTTATCCTCGTATAATTTTCACTGCACTAGAACCTCTCTATTTGTCACAGTAACACCCTACAAACTATGGATGGCGTCCCTGGTAACGATTTGGTACTTCTATTATAATGTTAATCAAGAGAAAACAATTCATGGTATAAAATATAATAAAACAAGAAACAAAAGAAAATAAAACAAATTCAAGCTAAAACAGTAAAAACTTGTATATGATAATAACCAACTGATAAAATAATTAGTACAAGAAATTATAAGGTAGTTAGAGAAAATTGATACAAGTTAATCTAACACAGCAGATATTTTCTCTGGAAAATTAAAACTAATTAATACTGTTAAAAGAACCAACCAAGCATCCAATCATCAAATAAAATAAAACCATTGAACGTTGTTCTACATTATTCTCAGATTGAAATTAATAAATATGTATTTTAAACAAATTATTGATTACATGTAGTACATGATTTCATAATACAGTTAAATTATCCTGTCTTTTTCATAAATAAGAATGCTAGTTAGGGTAGTAAATGCTAGTAGGGTGCTTTTTAGAGCAGTAATCATATTAAATCATTTATTGATGCAGTATTTTCTTATTCACGCCGTTCTTATTTAATTTAAGCTCATAATGATATTTTGGCGTATGTCTAAGTTTTTCTGTTAAATAAGAAATGGTTTGTTTCCGAAATAAGATTGATATAAAATAAATTGTCGAAAATACTTTTACCTTTCGTCGGCAATTTCTTTTAAACTCTTTCCTGCATTACACAACAAGTATGACGTATTAATTGTGGTACTAATACTATTTTTTACATCCGGCAGGGGGTATTTTACCAATAATTCTTTAATCGACTTCTTCATATTAGGAATCACCTCTAACAACAACTGACCAAATTTCTTATATTTAGCTACCGTAAAACCATCAACTGAAACAAAGTAAAAATATATTAAGATTATTTATTAAGAGATTTTGTTATGAAAGAAGTGGAAAACATACTCAAAGTGCTTTGAAATAATACTGTGGCGAAACTGGACCTGTAATGGATTCGTGACGGCCCAGCGAGTCTCCTGGTTCGAATATATTTCGACTGTCAGTTCGCATTATTTCGAATTTTAATACAAAGGTATAAAAAACCGTTATGTACCGGGTGGTCCAATAAGCCGATCGCTCGGCTATATATCAGAAACTATTCATGTTATAACTTGGGGAGAAAAAATTCCTTAGTAAAAGTGACCAAAAGAAATCGCTGGAAATAACTTTCAAGTTTCTGGGTTAACCGCTAGGGGGCGTAACCTGTGAAGAAAAATTTGAAAACCAGTTTTTTGTAAAATATGCCCAATTATACCAAGTGTTAAATAAGTGAACTAGAAAGAGGGCTAAATTCCGCACAAAGTTGTTCAAGTAGTTTTTTTAAATTTTTTCAAATAAAGGGTGGATGAGGGCGGAAAAGTATTTGTGGATAAATACCTATAACTTTGGTTTGGATCAACCGATTTTAACGAAATTAGTGTCATTAGAAAGAGTGTGGATAATTTAATCTACATCTACCATAAAACAATTGCATTTAATCTTAATTGTCATGGGTAGAGGGTACTTTCAAATAGAGAAAATTAAAATTTGTTTTTCTTTAAAATGTTTAATGGAAACAAATGGCACAAACCGCATGTTGATAGCTTTTGTCAAACTCGAGATATGAATAAAAACGCATAAACATAAGTATAGTATTGACTCACCCTGTATTATAAATTAAATTAAAAAATAAGTCAGTAGGTATTTTCAAATTTTTTTATAACAGAAGAATCTTAAAATTGATATCCATTTTGACCATTGTTATTTCAGATGATTAAAAATAGTTTTTTCGAAACTAAGTAGGCTACGACAATGAATTTGACGGGGAGATCATATTGTTTATTTATTGACAGCAGTCAAAACATTGTTAAGAAGTGTTATAATTCAAATTGAAGATTGCACTTTTTCAATAGATATTAATATTGGTAATATTAGTAATTAATTATCAGTACTAATAATTCAGGATGAGTATATCCAATGCAGAATTGTATGATATGATTGGAGTTTATTTCGAATGTCACCAAAATGCCGTATATATTCTGTAAGATATCCTGACAGGAGACATTATGGCAAAGAAGTATTTGAAAGAAAGGCAAGAAGATTAAGAGAAACTGGTAGTTTTCATCGTCCTTGTTTTAAACGACGTAGTAGAGGTATGACCGAAGATAATTCAATCAATGTTCTTGCTTTAATTCAACAGAATCCACATATAAGTAGTCGGCAAATCTCTATAGAATTAAACATACCTAAAACTACTGTTCTAAGGATTTTAAAACATCACAGGTTGGTTTTTCATACTATAAAGTGAACGTTTAGGTCAGAAACTTGGAATTTCCTTTAAACTTTAGATTCAACTGTTATTTTAATATTCCGATAAAAACGGCAACACGGCGCTTTTATCCTTTTATCCGTTTCCTAAAAATACTTATGCACGATTTATCTTGTGAAACAATTTTGGATTTTTTAAGATTTTTGAGTTTTAGTAAATGTAGTGGTTTCTTTTTCACCAATATTTGTTGTTCTGTTTTTTAGACTGCATCCTTATCATGTAGTTCTCCACCAAGTTTTACATGAGAGAGATTTTGATGCAAGGCTGGATTACTGCAATTGGATGTTAGGTCTGCTAGAAGAACAACCGGATATCGTGTCAAAGATTTTGTGGACAGACGAGGCTACGTTTAATAGTGCGGGTGGTGTTAATCTGCATAATATGCATTATTGGGCTGAAGAAAATCCGCACTGGATACATGAGATGCAGGTTCAAGGTAGATGGAGTCTTAATGTTTGGTGTGGTATAGTTGATGGAAAGATCGTAGGCCCATATTTCTTTGATAGAACTTTAAATGGCGAAACATATTTGAATTTTCTGGAAAATCAGTTGCCGTTTTATTGGAAGATATTTCCTTACAAAAAAGGAGAGATATGATACTACAACATGACGGGTGTCCTGCGCACTTTTCCAGACGAGTTCGAGATTATTTGTATGCAAGTTATCCAAATAAATGGATTGGAAGGGGAAGTATATTTTCATGGCCAGCTAGATCTCCAGACTTAACATGTCTGGACTTTTATCTGTGGGGAAGATTGAAGGACTTAGTGTACCAAACTCGACCAACCACACGAGATGACATGAAACAGCGCATTATAAACGCAATAAATAATATATCAACAGCTGAGATTGAAGCAGCTGTTATGTCTACGCGCAAAAGATTACATCTTTGTGTGTTCAACGATGGAAAACAATTTGAACATTTAATTGGGCATTAAGTTTTAATGATCGAGATATTTGTATATTCTTTCACATATTTAATTTTAAGTTATAATAAAGGGTGAGTCAATACTATACTTATGTTTATGCGTTTTTATTCATATCTCGAGTTTGACAAAAGCTATCAAGATGCGGTTTGTGCCATTTTGTTACGAATTTAATCCAGTTCAGTTATAATTAACAATAAATAGGTGTTTCTATTAAACATTTTAAAGAAAAACAAAAATTAATTTTTTCTATTTGCAAGTACCCTCTACCCATGACAATTAAGATTAAATGCAATTGTTTTATAGTAGATGTAGATTAAATTATCCACACTCTTTCTAATGACACTAATTTCGTTAAAATCGGTTGATCCAAACCAAAGTTATAGGTATTTATCCACAAATACTTTGCCACCCTCCCCCACCCTTTATTTGAAAAAATAATTCAAATTTTTCTTCACAGATTACGCCCCTAGCGGTTAACCCAGAAACTTGAAAGTTATTTCCAGCGATTTCTTTTGGTCACTTTTACTAAGGAATTTTTTCTCCCCAAGTTATAACATGAATAGTTTCTGATATATAGCCGAGCTTTCGGCTTATTGGACCACCCGGTACAATGGGATCGAAATAATAATTTCAATTAAAGCTATTTCGACAAGAATTGTCCAAATGGAAACACGCTATCAGTTTTGAGAAAATTAATAAAAACAGTATGACTCTTAAACGATGATAGATATACTTATTTTGACAACGGCTTCGTGATCAGCGTGTAAAAATATGATTAACATGTCTTAATGAACTTCCGGTCGTAAAAAATTTTCACTTCCGGTGAACATTTTGTTGATTTCCGGTTTATTTTTTATATTTTTAGATGTCGTGGAACATGCAAAAGTTGTTAAAAATTAGAATTTCTCATTATTTACAAAGATATAAGGAAAAAAATTTTGAAATACTTTTGGGGAAGGACAGTGACGCAAAAGATATACTTTTGAATTATACTAACTCTTTAATGAACCAGATGTCGTAACGTTCATTAAAACCCAGCGACTTACGCTATGATTTGTTAGAATAGTGAGCGACGCCGACGCATAACTTATAGTCAATCGAACGCCGCGCACGTTCGTCAAAATCAAAGAAACGGTTCTCTATGGTGGTTTGTTAGGTTCTGTTTAGTTATGCGCACAGCAGAGTGATAGCAGAGTACGTCGGTTGTGCGCTAGAATCAATTGTAATTTGATCAGGACACAAACGTTCAGCTGAACTTACAGCGTACACATCTATACAGACAATATAATAGTATAATTATACAGTTTACAGTTATTATTATTGCAGTAATTAAGTGATATCTACTAAATTTTCTTCCGAGGAATATGAAAAACTAGTAGATCTAGTAAGAGGGCATCCTCCAATATATCCGATTTGAAATTTTTTTAAATGCACAAAATAAATGAAAAAGTTATTACTAGAAAATTGATGTTATTTATTAAACTGAAGCACACACTATAATAAAATAACGTTGGTACAAAATAAAGTTTATCGTTATTATGCAATATATGACACAATTTTGACTTGACATTGTACAGATCCCTGAACACTATTAAAATATGCTTTGAATTTATCTCTGACGTTAAAAGCTTCAAACACAGATTTTTTGTCAGATTAGGGTGTTAATGTCATCATCTTTTGGGAACTCAAGTGAGCTGTTTGAATTTTTACATGGATATGGAGCATATTATGTAGTACACGAAACAATATTCTCCAGATGTCCGCGACATCTGGAGAAACGGCTAGAGGAGTATAAAATATTCTAAAATATTAACGCAATATGCCGAATGCATTTTCTGATGTCCGTCTAGTTCTGGAATGTCTGTAATTATAAACAGCTTTTGTTTTATCGTGTGTTATTTGGTTTTGCCGGATTTCATCATAATTGTCGTTAAATTAAATGCTTCATCTCCTAAAATTACGTACGTTTAATATTTGTATCAAGTATATTGCTTAGGGATGAAATGTTGAAACGTCCTTTATATATCTTCTGTTTTATGACTGATTTTGAAAATATACTAAAACTGAATGATAGTTTTTATAATTGAAAAATAGTAATCCCGCATTATTTGGGCAACAAATTCTTATATTATGTTTTCCGTCAATTAAAGCACAGAAATTTAGGTAGTTCCACAAATAATAGAAATCTTGCACATTGGTTTTTATTTGTTCTTTGCTTGGCGCAGGTATATAAAGATGAAGCATACGACTATTAATGCTCTCAAGTTCTTCTCAACTTGAACTCAATTTCTTTTACAAAAACACTTATCCAACTTTGGTGAATACGGTATTGAAATGCCAAAGATTTAAATGACACTAGGAGCCAAATATCTGCAATACGTTGAAAAACAAACTTACTTCATTCATAGCTTTCTCATCGCAGGCTAACACTACGTAGAGTTAAACGCAGACCCATGCGTGTTTATTATTAAAACAAAATAAAATAAAATTTACTATTTTTGATGGGAATATGCCACAACGAATCGAATCGGAATGGAATCGAATCAAATATCGAATCGATTATCGAATCGCATCAAATAACGAATCGAATCGATTATCGAATTGAATCTACTATCGAATCGAATTGATTATTGAATGGGGTCGATTATCGAAAAGAATCCATTATCTAATCGAATCGAATCGATTATTGAATGGAGTCGATTATCGAAAAGAATCCATTATCGAATCGAATTAACAACCCTATGCGTGTTTATTAATAAAATAAAACAAAATAAAATAAAATAAAATTTACTATTTTTGATGGGAATAAGCCACAACGAATCGAATCGGAATGGGATCGAATCAAATATCGAATATGAAAAAAAAAACGATGAATAAAAAAAAGTGATGCTTAAGTTTTCTTCTGCAGAAATCGGGTGTTGTCCTCTTGTAGGGTGTTTTAGTAATACCGTCCCTACGATATATCCCTTATGCATAAATTGTAAAACAGTTTTAAATAAACCCCGGGAAAGTCTAAAATATTCTCTAAATTTTTCCTCGTTTTGAAACAATCTTCTTTCGACTGTTAATTTAAAAGCACCTTCTGTATTAAGATATGAAAAAAATTAATTTACGTTTATTTCTTTTATTTCAATTTGACATTATCAACACTTCTTCTTCCTCCTCTTCTTGAAGTAATAAAATTATTCCGTTAAGTTTACGAAAATTCATTTTTCTAAACGTAAATCTGTAAGGAAAAACGTGAAACTAATTTCTAAACTTGTTTTGGGCCCGACAGAATGTCGAACTACTACTCCTAACAAATCGACTAACCCAAAACTGCTGAGAGTCGAGTAGAGCAGATTCTGCTGTACGTCTATGCTGTGTGCTGCGCACTGTTCTAACAAACCATAGCTTAAGACATAATACGAATGCTTGACAATATTATTGCTAAAAAGCTAATGACAGGAACACCTATAGGAAGAAGAAGTAGAGATCGACCGCGTGTAGATGGAGTTAAGATCTACTTAGGTATATTAAAGATCAGAAGATGGTAACACGTCGCCAGAAACCGAACAGAATGGCCACGAATCTTCGAGCAAGCCAGGATTCACAGGGCCAAAGATGATGATGATAAGAAAAAAAGTATATGCCAACATTTACCGTGGCTTACTTACTTAAAAGCTGAAGACTCACCTTTTTCTTTAAGGTGAAATCCTTACCTTGCAACAAACAATCGATTTGATTTTGCTTGCAAAATAAAGATTCGCAAAAAATGCACCGATAAAGATTTCTGTCCCTTTAGTATAAGTTGAATTTCATAGAACAAAATACAGCGATTGTACAAACCCTTAAAAAAGTATAAATAAATCGAACCGTGAGTTTAATTCTCATTGCAATATAATTGAGGAAAATGCATTAACTCTGGTAACGGTAAAAGAAATGTTGAAATATATATTATACTAAAACATCTTAATACAAACACCATATCACAGTAACCAATGAGGTAAAGACACAGATCAATTGAATTGATTTCTACTCAAGGGAACTAAATGCAAATAAAATTATTAGCATGAAAGCAAGCAATATCTGGATTCAAAGGATAATACTCTTAGAAGTTGCAAAAAGTGTTGTAATATTTATATTATGCATAAATGTGTATAACTTCCTCAATTTATTCAAAATATTAAAATTGTTATTAAAGTTCATTTTTCATTAAGTAAGAAGTATGGTCATTTGTAAAACCCATATCCATGTCATTATTTTACTTTAAAAAAGTGTCTTACTTTGTAAAGACTCCAATTGCTTTAAGGTTTGAGGTTTTGCCTCCGCTATTTCTTGTAAAGCTTTTGTAGAAGCCACCATATAAGGCATGCAACCTTCGCTATTTGCAATTTCCGTCCTTTTGTTCACTAACAACCTGAAAAACATGGTTATAAAACCTTGTTTATGATTTAAACTACGTATTTACCTGTATACCTCCGATGTCTTAGTATCAACTTCTTGTTTTGAAAATTGGTCCAATGGTGTCGCTTGCAGGCTGCTAGTGGACTGACTACTAGTTACTTGATCACCTTTTTTTATCCAAATTGAACTAAAAAAAAACGAAAAATATTAAAGATTAATATTTCATATCTTTATAATAAAGTTGCAAGTCAGTTAGTTTAAATATCACATTTTGTAGATATTCTTAAAATTTCAAAGACATTGCTAAATTTTATATAGTTAAATAAATTTAATTGAATTCACATCTGAACATACGGCAGCGATAGTAACTAGATTCAGTTAACTTAATTAATGAAATACTCACGAACAACCAAATTACAACGATTAATAGCGGTTAGATAAAGCAAAAATTGAATCAGTATAATTCTCTAAGGTTTCAATTTAATTTAAATCAAAAAGACAAAATTAAAGAAAGAATATTGAAAACAGCGAACATATAAGCTACCAGTGCATTAGAAGACATAATAATAGTAATAATAATAATGCCTTCATTAAATACAAGAAGACACATGCCTTTAATTCAGTACTGCATGAATGGCTTATAGATATATTAAATTTATATAAAGTCGATGATAGTATAGTGACCATTTTAAAGCATATAATGATGAAGTTGATGACTTAAATTCACCTTCAAATACCTGGTGAAAACAACGTCGAAACTGAAGACATCACAATTAATCGGGACTTTTCCAGGACTCAATGAGTCCACTTTGCTTCTGTTGAGCGATGAACCCACTATCTCAGCTACTGAACTCCACTGACTCAGCTTTTATCATCAAAAATAAAAATACTGTTGTGGCGAAGCTTAATCATCTGTATATAGATGATTTGAAATTAATGGCTTTCAGTGGAAATCACCTGGATTAGATACTGAAAACTGTGGAAACATTCTAGATTCGACTAGAAACATTGGACTAGAAAAGTGCCCTATTCTAAATATAGTCAGAGGAAAGATTCAGCAAGATGGCCAAAACATCTAGACAAAGGGTGAAAATAAAAATATTTCGGAGTAAAGCAAGCGCGGAAAATTAACCATAAACAAATTAAAACCGAACTAACTTCTGAGTTTGTGCCAATAGTAAAGTCGAGTTTACACTACATGGTTTACCATGTGAATTGTCATATGATTTGGTCATGGAGTGAAATTTACATGTTTGCACTGTGTGATTTGTCATATGATTTTGTCATAAGCACTGTCATGCGGCTCGTCATAGCTTGTCACAGGAGAATAGGACGGTACCTATTCCACATGATAAAATCATATGATTTTCGGTAATAATACCGGTAACACCAACATATTTAAATATCGCGCCTTATTCTTATGTAAATTCAGCGACATTTCCTTACCGACAGACATCTTTTATTTATTTATTTTTTGTTTGTTGCATTGATATTGAGCCTATCGTCTAATCTGTGCTATTGTGTGCTAATATAAACACTAAATTTGATATACCCCGTCCACGATTTCTTCGTAAAGCCATCTGCGGGCCCAAAGGTGTCTGATCTTTTTCTTTTTACTATTAGCTGTACGCAGTTGTTGCCGGAGTATTATTATTAAAAGTCGGCAAGCCAATGCAAGCAAATATTTATTTTCTAACCTAATAGTTATTACCTATACTGTGTCTTATATCTCTATGACCATAAACAAAAAGAAAAATCAATAAAACCTCATTGTCACTCAGGAATCATAATAAATCTCATATGATATTGTCATATGATACAATCATGTAGTGTAAAGTCGACTGACAGCTAAATCAGTCATACCTTAATAGTAAAAATCTGTTAAAGGCATTAAATACGTACGCCAGTTCCACACTTAGCAACTCACTTGGTATTACAAAATCTATATATAATAGGCTTTATAAGTCTCTAAGGATATAGAAAGTCTTCAGCGGAAAGTAGTAGCGCAGTAGAGAGAACAACAAGAGGACTTATGGACATAGGTGAGCAACTGGATAAACAGGTTGCTAATTTAAGACCCTATTTTTAGACGCAGGCTAAGACATACTTATAGAGGCTAGTCTGCCATCTCTTCTTCCTTCGGTATACAAGGAAGGTAACAGACCAGTGCTACGCTTCTACCGCCTATTATTACTCCTGGTTTTACTCAAGGTACTCATTTTATTCAGACTGAGTCGACCTGGAGCATGTAAGTATTTAAAAATATCTAGATGTTCTCAGAAAATTGTCAAGACCTGCAATCGGCCCATACTTACATATGCAATTGAACTAACACAAAGAAAATAAAACAGGACTAAGAACAGCATCACTAATCACTAATGTTTGTATTTTGAGAACGATTTCCGAAGTGGAAATTAAAACATCAATAAACGTACTTTAACCTTCAATTGTGACTTATTCCCATTTAAATAGTAATTACTTTGAAATGCCACACATTGTACATTTTTTATGAATTACCTATAAAATTAAGTTGATCAAACTTATTAAGTTGATAAAATTATGTTCAAAACACCGAGCTCAAAAGGTTCGCCATCACTGCTCTAGCTGCCAGTGGGACAGAAATGGACAAGCCTCGTTAAAAAATTTCGGAAGACCGCGCAAGACGTTATTCGAAAGCCATAAACATGATGTAAGGTATATACTAAAGTTCTAAGAGGCCAAAAGACTCCTTTATCTTCAATCTAAATCATATTCAATCAGCTTATAAATTTACTGCTATAATACAAATAAAAGCTACACCTTCAAAGATTTCAATAGTTGTGTGATAGTAGTTTGAAATTATTTTTGAATAAAAATTACCTTTTGGTTGTTAAACATTCCAATATGGTATCAGTTGGAGCCGTGATTAATTTTCCCGTGCTGTTCAAGAAACGTTTTCCAGTGTCCGAGAGAATGTACACAACAACAAATTTATTTGCAGACTTTTTGTTTGTTAAAAATTTGTGTTTAAGCAAAAGACGACCTAAGGCATAAAAGCAAAACAAAATATTTTTAAATACAGTTGCACATAGAAAATGTCTTATCTAATTAAGTAATTATTAGGATTGCTGGGCATAATCGGTGTATCTTAATATTTGATGAGAATATAATTAAAAGAAATTTCCTTAGTGTTTAAGTACACATTTTGAATAATTCACGAGCGACTCATTTTAAATTTCAAGGAATTCTGTAAAACGCAGTGAAAATTTATATACATTAAACCACGAATTATTGTAAGGCTTTTAATTCCTGGTACTCCGTATTCTTTTCTTTGTCTCTGGAAGCTGTCGTCGTCTGGAGCCAAGTGGCTTGTAATTCTGCCAAAGCTTACCTACTATTTGGGAAAGTATGTACTACATATTTCTTTTCATATTTTTTCATTTAATATTTTTCTGTTACTGTACTGTAATGTGATCTAATTCAATGCTGCATTCTAACGACTTTGTTAAAATATATTGCTTCCTGTTATTTTATCAAATTGTTAAACTGGCTATCTCATTTATTGTGTTTTATTGTGTTTATAAAATCGTCCGACAATAGGGTTGATTTATGGCATGCTCTTGCCCACGAGCATACCCAACAGTTAGAGTGTGGTTTTTGACCTAACGATCTCAAGACATTTCCTTCATCACAATACAGCGAAAGAAACGGACCTAGTTTGATCGGGTCTCGTGCCATCGAGACTCGGCGGGCGTCCCGACGTGGTGCCAACGAGATTCCCCTGGCTAAGAATCTTACATCAATATACCAAAGGGTAAGTTTATATTCTTTGTACAGACAACAATAATGAGTAAGACCAGTTAATTTCGTAATTCATTCACAATTGATAGTTGTTATTTTTCGCTAATTTATTTAGAAACAAATATTGTATTTTCTCTTTATTATTATGTATCTAATATCATTTAACCAGCGACCTCTTAAGCTTTATACAAAACACCTACTGTGCTGACAGGTCGCCTGTATTACCCTGATTGCGTCATTGTCAGTAAGACCTATTTGGAGTTCTTGACTAGGGTTGTCCCTCTGCTCGTTTCCTTTATATTTTTATTTATGGACTCAAAAGAGTCACTCATTTATGAGTCCTGTTTTGAGCCATCCCTTTTTGTCCATACCACCCCTATTCCCACGAGTTGGAATGATACACTGTCAGTCATTATACCGTGCGAAGAATATAATGCTTCAGAGTTAGGTACATCATCTAGGCTTTTCTCACCGTACCATGCATCCTCTGGGTACGGTGATGTTACACCTCAGGATTGAAGAGGTATTAGTCGCAGCACAATTCTTCCGTATGATGAGTTAGTTGTTGGCTATCTAATGATTTGCCGATTGAGCATGCTGTAGTTGTACAATTGTGTATGTATATTTTGGGTTTCTAAATGTATGCATGTATATATGTGGAGACATGTTCAATCAACAAGCTGCAGTCCTATGTCATGTTCTCAGTTGATCCGCGTATGGTTATCTGGTTATACCGTATTCACATGTTCTATATATCCATAAAACGCACTCCCATCTTGATCCTCCCATCTTTCTTTAGGTTTTCTTCTCTGTAATACATTACTCGGGAAGTCGGATTCACTTTATTTTGTGTCCCATCAATCTCAGTCTCCGTGCGTCCATGTTCAATTTTGTTGTTTTTTAGTATACGCTCTATTATGTTTATCATTTCTTCCATTTCCTATTACTCCCGAGTATTTGCAGTGGTGGACTTTGTACATTCCTTTATTGTGTTATACTCTTTTCTAGAACGAAGTACATAGGTATTTTGTTTTCCGTTTGTTAATCTCTAGTCCTCTTTTGCTCACTTCGGTTGCAAATTTTAGTAAGACTTTTTCCTATATATTGACATACCATATCGCCTACGTATATTCGCCTTGTCTGTTCCTTCTCCTTCTACTGTTATGTCGAGGAGAGTGCTTGAAAAGAGGTTGCGTTTTTTATCTTCGTTTCCTTTTCAATTATGTTTGTGGTATCTTATTCTGCTAAGATTTTTGCTTGAGAGGCTTCCATTGTCTTTTTTGTTAATCTGGTCAGATTGGACAGGATGTCTGGATTTTTCATTACCTGTAACAATTTATTTCTTTCGGTGAGTCAAAGTCTTGTTCTAAATGTGCGAATAGGATGTATAGTTCTATATTGTGCTCAATTCATTTCTTAATCGTTTGTGTAACTACATAAAGTATTTGGCAGGAGCGGACCGAGACGCCGTCGTATCTCGTGGTTGAAAAACCTTCGACAATGGTTTGGGATGACCTCCGCGGAGCTGTTCGCAGAGCAGTCAACAACACCATGCTAGCCTTGATGATCGCCAACATCCGGACCGGATAAGGCACTGAAGAAGAAGAAGAACTACATAAATTACATCTGTTGTTGATCTTCTTTCCCGAAATTCTTTTTTATAACCTCAATATTATTTTGCTGAGTAAAATGAGGGTTATTTTCTAATGAGAGATGTTAGGCTTTTGTATGTCGTATGTTGTTCTCAGACTTTCTCTGTAGTTTATTATCCCTTCTTAAATATTGGCATTTTCTTTGCCTCCTTCCAGTCTTCAGACACATCTTCTATTTTTCACCCTCTTAACAATTAATTTATAGATACCCCTTAATAACTTTGCCAAATTCGTTAGGGACTTCTATAGGTACTTTTTGGTTTCATTCGTTTAATGAGTTTTAAATATTCTTCATAGGTTAGTGTCATCTCCTTACAAAATCTGTCATCGTTGACATCTTTTTCCACTCTGGCGTATTCTTTTTGTTCTGGATTTCGATAATTTTTAGGTTAATATAGTTCGGTGAAATTAATCCCCTTCCAGTATTTTTGGGTATCCAGTAGTAAACTACTATATTTTTTTATTCTATTTTAACATTTTAATTAATCAAACCATTGTGTTTTCTTTTTGTTTTTACAGCATTGGTGTGCTTCTTAATTTGTTTCCTTATATTCGATTAGTGATTTCTTTTCTAGATTTGGTTTTAGTTTCATAAGCTTTGTCGAATTTTCTTCTTTTTCCGTTCTGTCCTAGAACTTCTTCGACTAATTCCCAAATGGCATCTTTTAACTGTTTCCCATGCTTTCTGTGTTTTAACTTCTGTTAATTTTATATTTAAGTTTCTATCGTATCCTTCGCTTATGTCTTGTCTGTTTAGTTGATCCATGTTCCATCTTCTTTTATTTTAACCTGTTTTTGTCCTTCTAATTATCTTGTTTCCTGTTACGATAAAATGGTCGGTGTTCGCATTTACTCCTCTTTAAGATATGTTATGTACTATTGTCTCCCATTTTTTGGATATTAGGATATGACCTATCCGATTTCTATCTGTTGTACTATAGTTCATTAATATTACTTTACAAGGTGCAATAACAACATAATAACAGCAGTGATTTATACGCAGATCACGAAAATAATAAACAATACACTATATTAAAGCATTTTTAGTAATTAGAAAAAATAATATCAAAGACTTACCAATTTCGGTCCACCAATTGTTTGATTTACTTTTTCCACATCCCCAAAGAGGCTTATCATACAAATATTCATACTTTTTTTCAGCCTTTCCTACTAAAATTTTAACGTAGGTGTTAATGCCATACCCAGGCATATTATCAATCACGGATAAAAATAACCTTGCATCCTCGGAAAAATCATAATTACCATTGGTGTCTAATCCTTCATAATTTTCAAGATTGATAGTTCGTTTCCTAAAAATAAGATACTTAAGCTATTTAAATAATGACAATGAGTTCATAAGAAAACAACAGAGGAATTCTAGAGGTTTCTATCTTCAAGGAAGTAAAATTTCAGGATGATTGAAAAAAAATATTTTTCAGGATATTGCTTTAGGGTGGTCTACAGTAGACGCATTCATTTTGCAAGTATAACGAATCATGACTGAAAGAAAAAACAGAAAATTGTGCAAAAAAACCAGCAACTGTAAATTTAATAAAAAATTACAAAACACAAATTCGTTAGGATGCTTGTTAGGATACTATCACTTGTTATCTTTTGTACATCATATTTATGCATTATTTTGTTCTTTGGTGTAGATCCCTGTTGTGTGAATCCGTATTGATATTTCGTTAACTTACTTTTAGTCTTTGGGACTAGTTTTATGTAGTTAGTTTTCTGTAAAAATTTGTTTTATTTGACATAACAGTTTAGTTGATATTGATTTTTTGTCTTTGTTTATAATTAATGCCATTTGCATTTTATTGGGTATTATATAATTTTAAGTATTTTATATAATAAGTACTTAAGTTATCCGGAGTACTTATTATTTTTTTGTGAGATCACTCAGACGCTCCAGTAGATATTCATTTATTTGGGATATGATCTCTGTTTTATATATCTGCCTAATTTTGGTTATTTGCTCTTTATATTATATACTTACTTTGATTTTGATTATTACTTAGACTTTATACTATAAGTCTACTTGTTAGAAGGTAATTACATACTTGTTTAAAGTATGTTTTAAATTTTTTTGTATACATCAAACCCCAGTTTGACGTATACTATAATTCGTTGGGAAATCTTCAATTTCCTTGAGGTATACTCTAAATTTGTATTCGAAATTTTTCTGATGTGTGGGAGAAGTCTATTACGTTATAAACGTTACATGTTTGTTAGTTTTCTTTAAATCATTATTTTCTATTACTCGTATTCAGACCCATATCTACCCCATTCTATGCTATGCCATAGACATATATAAAATGTATATGCTCTACCTCAAGTCGACAAAATATATTAGTCATATGGCAACTCGGTTCTGCCATGTCAGTTTTTGCTACAATAGATAAAGGAACTTGTTTTTATAGTATTTTTCATCTACTTAAGCTGATGTCTTAGTGTCTAAATTCATTTATATATTAAATATCTTCTCTGAGGTGAGTACATTTTTAAGTATCTGTCTTCCTATAATTTTCTCTTTTTGACTTTGTTTTATACATAACCTAATCTCCAAGCCAAGTGAGGTAAATGTTCAGACATCGAATTGGCCCTCTCACAGTCCCCACACGAATCCTACTGAATACTTATGGGATATTGTCGGTAGACAATTAAGACTTCGTCAGCCCCTTTCTGCATCACGGCGAGATGTAGAAACTATGCTTACTGCTGTCTGAAACTCCATACTCTAAAATCAAATAGCACACTGAATATCCAGCATGCCTAGTCGACGTGAAGCTGTTATTAGTAGTGGGACGCACGCGATATTATTTTACATTGTTTCTTTTTGTTTTTAAAGTTTTGTTATCAGTTGCTATTTTTTATTTTTAGTTAGTGTTGTTTCATTTAAAACACATGGTAAAAAATAAAACCGTCTATTTTCTTTGTTTTTAAAGAATACACGGAATTAAAAAAATGTTAGCAAATCATGAGACTACGACATTTTTATGTAAAAACCCACCCTTGTACTTTGTCTTTCCTACAGGGTGTTTCAAACTCAACATAAGAAAACTATTTTTTTTTTTTTTCACCCGGTATAAGACCAAACCAGAAGTTTGAGTAAATATTTGCCAAACAGTGTAAATACAAAAGAAAAAGTCTAAAATAATAAAGTAAAATCCGTTGATCCGTTTACGAAAAATCAACTATCAAAATCAGCATAATTTTCGGTGGTATAAAACTTTTGCGGTTAAGTGTATATATGAATTGGTATCAACAGACTGTTATAACGTTATTTGTGTATGCCCTACGTCTTCCAGACAGTAGAGTAGATACAAACTCATACACGAAAAGCTAGTGAATGTGATATATGTCCACTTCTATAGTGTAACCTGTAAAAAGCTCTACCTATTTTGATATATGATATATGATATATATATAATATATATATATATATATATATATATATATATATAATATATATATATATATATAATATATATATATATATATATATATATATATATATATATACGGATATATTGGGTTTAGTAGTCAATATATTGGCCTTTAAGTAAAACTCTTTTAGGTTTGCTAAGCTTTCGAGTTTATTTTACTCTTTTTCAAAACATACTAAAAATTAACATAAAAAATTTACATTAGAAAAATGAAGTTCTTATGTCTTAAATAGGCTTACCCTTGTGAGAATTGTCTTTAAAATTAGCAAAATTTTACATTTTGTCATTATGTCATTAACATAATGATATTAAATTTGATTTACTTTTTATTTCTGTCAAAACTTATTACTAAGGTTTCCATATCTCTTCTATTTTTTATATTTATTTTAGGTGAGTTTGACAGAAGAAGTGTCTATGTTTATGCAAACCTTCATTGCAAATTTTGATATAATATTAGTTATTAAACAAGCAACAGAGTTTATGTTACTAAGTATTTAAGAAAGAAAAAATACAAATAAAAATAAATTTTATCTCATTTGAACTTGGAATAATCCCTTTCATATGCGTAACTTTTTATGAAAGGGATTATTCCAAGTTCAAATGAGATAAAATTTATTTTTATTTGTATTTTTTCTTTCTTAAATACTTAGTAACATAAACTCTGTTGCTTGTTTAATAACTAATATTATATCAAAATTTGCAATGAAGGTTTGCATAAACATAGACACTTCTTCTGTCAAACTCACCTAAAATAAATATAAAAAATAGAAGAGATATGGAAACCTTAGTAATAAGTTTTGACAGAAATAAAAAGTAAATCAAATTTAATATCATTATGTTAATGACATAATGACAAAATGTAAAAGGGTAAGCCTATTTAAGACATAAGAACTTCATTTTTCTAATGTAAATTTTTTATGTTAATTTTTAGTATGTTTTGAAAAAGAGTAAAATAAACTCGAAAGCTTAGCAAACCTAAAAGAGTTTTACTTAAAGGCCAATATATTGACTACTAAACCCAATATATCCGTATATATTACTCACATAGTCACTAAAGCCCTTTCTAAGAATATATATATATATATATATATATATATATATATATATATATTGAATTTAAAAATTACTTACGGTGCTGAACAGTTATCGCAACATCTATCTCGCTTAGATGTATTCATCGTCTCCTCGAAATATGAAAGGATGAATTTTCTTCGACAATCCGTAGTTTCAACATAATTCGTAATATTGTTTAACAGAGCTTCCTTTCGTTCTTTATTGATTGCAGAGAGTTCCTTTTGTAAAAACCTACATTAAAATAATAATAAAATAAAAACGGCCACAATTGGAACATTAAATAGAGATAAAACAAATAAAATTATTTAAATAAAGGAGGATGTAAAAGAGGAGATATCACCAAAAATTTAACTCTATAATTAACAGTACTGGCAGTACTGTTTTGAATATATTATGTACAACATTTTTAAATATTTTTAACTATAAATCTTTGTCTCCTGATGAAGCTGACAAAAAATAAGCGAAATATAGAGTAATAGAAAAAAGAGTTTTTTTAAATAACAGAAGACCGCACACTCGATACTCCAATACAATAGCTGACCCGGCCACGCTTCGCTAAGGCTTGTTTATTGTACGATTGATATTATGTTCAATTATTTAACACAGTTTAGTAAATATCATGAAATCCATGCATGAGTCAGGGATTAGCTTAAAAAAATAGAATTTGTGCTATTAGCAATGAAAAAAATCCACCAAAAAATTTTGAATTTATACTTTATGTAGCTCAAGTTCAAGTATAATAATATATAAGAAGTATTAAAATTATTTATTGCTAACTGTTATATGAATTAAATTCGTGAATGCATTTTATAGAATTTTTGTCAATAAACGTAACCTAAATATTATTACTGAAAATAATAGCGATGTAAGAGTGTAAAAAATGATAAAACTTAATTGAAATTGTAATAAAAAATTTGGGTACTGTTATTAATAATAATAATATACAAATTACCCCACGGCACAGTGACAATAAATTCAAGATATGTAAATATAAATAAATAAATTCAAGATACATAAGAAACTGAACACAAACATTTGTGTGCCTTAAATTTGTGGAACATACGGCATTAATTATGACATTAAAGCAACATTGAAAATTTAAACAAAACAAAAAAAATGAAATACTTACACAATCTCGATTTAAATAAAATTGTATAACATTTACTGCCATATATTAAAATCTAATGAAATTCAAAACAAGTTACAACGAATTTGTTATAAAAAACTTTTATTTACAATTAAAAATAATAAGGGTCATCTATCGAGATAAAAATATCCTATCTTTAAAATTGGACCAAACAGTAGACTTTCACAAAATTTGATTGGAATCAGTTCAGTGGTTTCGGAGAAACTGTTTTTATGGAAATAATCAATGCTGCTTTTAAAAATTAAACATATTTTCTTGAAACTGTCAAAGTAATTATTTGACTTTTAGCATCTTGTATATCAAAAACTACTAACTTTAGGGCAATAGTGATAAATATTGCCATTTATAAAATTTTATTGTCTATTTAATTTTGACATAAAAATATGTTTACATTTAAAAATAGTTGGATGACGTTATCACAACGTAATAGTAAGGTCATCACAGTTCATCTTCTTCTTCTTCTTTAAGTTCCATCTTCTATCGAAGGTTGGAAATCATCATGGCTATGCAGACTCTGTTGACTGCCGCTCTAAAAAGTTCTGCACTACTGCATTCAAACTGTTCCCTTAAGTTCTTAAGCCAGGATATTCTTCGTCTTCCCACATTTCGCTTTCCTCGTATTTTGCCCTGCATAATAAGTTGTAATAATGCGTATTTTTGCCCTCTCATCACATGTCCCAAGTACTCAAGTTTTCGTCCTTTAATAGTTAATATTATTTCCGCCTCATTTCCTATCCTTCTAGTTACTTCCATGTTTGACATTCTTTGAATCCATGACATTCGTAGGATTCTTCTGTAACGCCAAAATTCAAAGGCGGTCAACTTATTCAGATGAACTTGTTTTAGTGTCCAAGCTTCCAGACCATAAAGAAGAGTAGAGAACACATAACATCGAAGCATTCTCAGGCGTAGTTCTAACCTTCCGGCGCAAATTGAGCACAGCCCACGCACATCCCACGCGCAGCCCACGTATGGTCCAACCTAGTCCAAGTACACGTTTTTCAATACTAACGCATATTGAACACAGTCCACATCCATGTCAAATATTTGTGTAGAATATGTTCTATCCATAAAATTAGGAAAAACACAATATACGAGTATGCTGATTCTGACGAAAAACCTGGACTATGCATAGGAGATTGTTTTCGCAAATACTATTTAACGAAAAGATAGACTGTTTTCAGTATATTAGTTTAAATAAAGATTTTATTTTCTAGACCTTTTAATTTTTACCTAATATCCCACTAACAATTTCTAATCTGAAAATATAAATATCTTGAAAACTTTCACAAATGCTAAGTTTAAAAAATTGAAATCCTTCAACAAAAGACTATAGATATAATTTGAATAAGCTGCTTTTGCCGATATGACTTTCTTATTACTAATTAGCATAATAAGCAGATATTTTACATGGTAAAACAATTTTAACAATTCTGTTAAAGATTAGATTTTTGTTTCATTGAAAACTGAACCTGATATTAATTTCTTGAGAACTTTTACATATGATAAGGGTAATAAATTGAAATCCTTCAACAAAAGACTATAACAGGTAGATACCCATAATTTGAATAAGCTGGTTTTGCCGATATTGACTTTCTAATTACTAATTAGCATAACAGGCAGATATTGTAACTGGTCACAATGCCGTTGAATATTCCGACTTTCATTTCGCTTGTTTTGAAAACTCCATCGGATATTAATTTCTTGGAAACTTTTACAATGCTGAGGGTACTAAGTTGGAATCCTCTAACAAAATACTATAGAGAGTATTGTTGAAATAAGTGAAATAACGTAATAAACAACAGGAGAGCTAAAAAATACAAAAATTCCAGATCGTATTTTGTTTTCGAGATAAATTTAAATTTGAGAATTTTTTATTATTTTTCTACTTTCTTCATGTTCTTTTTTAAATTAATTTCAGTGTATAAAAGCCATTACAATATGAGCATCACGAAAAAGTACCATCAAATTTTATTTTGAAGTTTTCATCTTAGGTGTTCATAAACATTTTGCCAGGAAATGAAAATTTGTTTTTTTTTTCCTTAGTTCTCGATTTGTTATATTTCTCATTTGATTTAATAAAAAATTAATTTAAATTATTTTTTTTTTTAATAATTATAACGGCGACTTACATCAAACGAATAATTATAACGTCGCTTAGCACAAATAAAGAAAATATTAGTTTTGTTCTCATGTAATCTTCATTACTAGTATCATACAAGACACTAGAGCTTCGAACAATTTCAATAAACTTTTCCATTTTCACTGAATAACAAAAAATTGGTCACACAAAACAAAATAACTAAGAGACCCACGACCCACGAAACTGTGTTGCTAGCACAACTCTATCCACGCCAACCAAGTCTGGCAGTAGCCTGGCCGTGGTTTGGGTTTAATATGCGTGGCTCCGTCTAAAACCACGTTTTACAAAATAACCCACGCGTGTACTGCGCGTGGGATGTGCGTGGGCTGTGCTCAATTTGCGGCGGGCCATATCCCGACAACAAAGAAACTTTTTAAGTTTAATAAATGATGTACGTGCTATTTCAATACGTCTCTTAATTTCTTTGGTTTGGTCTACATCTGATGTTATCCATGTTCCTAAGTATTTATAGTTATTAACAATCTCAATTACAGTATCTTCAATAGTCAATTGGATATTTGCATGTGCAGATTTAGTAATGATCATGCATTTAGTTTTCTTTAAATTTATCTTCAGTTCGTACTCATGACAGCGTTCATTAAGGCGTTGCATTACGTTCATCACTATTATCCAAAATAAAAGCAAAACCGAATTTAAAAATCGATCTGTCTCGCACGGCAGTTCTTTCTCGCATTTCTGAAATATTGAGGTTGGGTCCCTCTTCTCAGTACTCTCGTCTCTGCCGTTTCCAGTAGCCTTCATGTTGTGGCTGTGTCGGGTCTTGTTTCTGGGGCATATGTCATTATTGGTCTTACATTGGCTTTATAAATTCTTGACTTCATCTGGCTTTATAAATTCTTGACTTCATCTGAAGGCTCATAATGCAAGGTAAAATCAAGGGTAAAAGATCCATAGGAAGACGAAGAATTTCCTGGCTGAGAAACCTAAGAGAGTGGTATAGTTGCAGCTCATTAGATCTTTTTAGAGCAGCCGCTAATAAGGTACGGATAGCTGTGATGATAGCCAACCTCCGATAGGAGAAGGAACTACAAGAAGAAGAAGACTTCATCTGTGTTAATGTGTCTGTTTCGCCATATAGTGTTATTAGGGCATCCTGTCGGTCTATTTCCTCTTTGTACTTGAGCTCTCACTTCTTTGTCCATAGCTAGAAAGTGTAATTCCCCGGTATTTTATTTCCATTACTTGTTCAATACTAATGCCATCAATTTCTATTTTACATCTGGTTGATTCTTTGCTGACTACTATTGTTTTCATTTGCTGAGATAAGATTGTCATATTAAATTCTTTTGCTCTTATGTTAAATCTGTGAACCAGTCTTTGCAGCCTATCTTCATCTTGAGCTATCAATATTGCGTCGTCTGCGCAACAGAGTATTTTTATTTCTTTGTGTCCCATTCTGTATCTTCTTCCATTGTTAACTCTTTTGATGATTTCATCCATGATCAAATTGAAGAGCATGGGGCACAATAAATCCCCTTGTCTTATTCCGCTGCTTATTTCTATAGGTTCTGTAAGTTGTCCATCTATTCTGACTTCCATTTTATTATTTTGGTAGATATTTTGGGTAGTAACCACAGGATGGTAAGGTAAAAAATTAATATTAAACACCAACAATACCTTATAGGTAACTTTCATCGGTATTTTATCACTGCTAGTACTAATAACGTAATAATTAATAAAAAATAAGTGACAACAAATTTATTATTTTAACACTCCAATCATATTTCAAAAATTATTTGCTCTTTGATTTCTTTGTATTAGATATCAAATGAAACATAAATTTATACTAACCTATGAGACCTAAAATCTGCTGCAGAATAAAAGCAAACACAGGTTGCTGGCTGGCCATCTCTACCTGCTCTTCCTATTTCTTGGTAGTAATTCTCTATACTATTAGATATTCCATAATGAATTACATTCCTTACATCGGGTTTATCAATACCCATACCAAATGCTATAGTTGCTACCACTACTTCTACCTGATCTCTAACAAATTTTTCATGTGCCTCTTGCCGCTGCTTTAATGGCAGACCGGCATGATAAGGACTACAATTAATATTTGAAGCTAAAATAAAAAGTAAAAATGATATTATGAATGAATATATTATAATTTTATTAATTCCATTTATTTATTTGATTACGTTACATAAATGTCACAATTCTAAAAACGAGAAAACGTGATATACTATGTCGAAACTGGTACGTTCTTAGTGTGACTTAAGTGATATGAAATATGTAGTCGAGTTTTCAAAGTATCCAGAAACTGAAATAGGAAAAAAACTGTGTATATCTGAGGAAACAAAAAATAACAAAGAGAACAGCAACAACACCAACATTATATTGGTGTCCGAAGTGGGGTATTTAAATACATTCTGAGAAAGATGGCTAAGAGACAGTGATTTAAAAGTGACATATTTAAGACGAGAATTGTAAGAAATTATATTGGGAATTGCCAGAATGATTTCCAATCTCCGATAGGAGTGAAACTTGAAGAAGAGGAATATCGGGAAAAAGGCTAAATTAGTAGAACGGCTAAAAGACACCCTAAAATAAGAGAGTTTTGATCCAGAAAGGGCTGTATTTGAGAACAAGTATGCTGCTGTGATGTCGATTATATCGCCGGAAAACAAAGTTTCCTGTGATATTTCAAAAGTTTCTTCTAATATTTCCAAAGTTTCTACGGGCATTGTTTCTCTAGAAAATAACTTCTGATATTTCTTCTGCCTTCTAAAATTTTTTCTCTCAATAATAAAATATCTTTGTTAAAAAGCAAAGTTGTTGCCGATATTTCGTCTTTTGAAGAAAAGATAAAAGAGATTGAAAAGAAGATGGAGGAAACAGGGATAGCAGATAGGAGAATTCGATCAAATACTAGACATAAAAGACTAAAAAATTTCGAATAAAGTGAAATTAACTAAAATAAAAGTTAAAGGAAAGCTGTATACAAATCTATAACATTTACTTGACTAATAATCCCAACAAACGTAGGAATCCTAGTTCCAAAGTTAAAATAATTATTTATTGTTGAATTAAATAGAGTATTATTATACATTTTACCTTTAAGTAATGCAGCTATATCTTCTGTTAGTTTTCTGGTTATACAATAAATAATAGTTGGTCCTGAGAATTGTAGCTTATTATTTTTCCTCACCATAACTGATTCAAGGTCGTTTAAAACATTATTTGTCTTCGGTTTCACGCTCAAATAAAAGTTTGGTCGATCAAAACTCGTACATACAAGTTGGGGGTTTCTATAAAAGATTTAAAAGGTATATATGTAATTCACTTATTCACAAATTCACATGTGAAATGTTTTCTAAAGATGACGTCGCACGATGCTGGTTATGTGTTTGAAACACATAACAGAAAACAAATTGTGTTACATGTTCATTTGAACGTTTTTTTAACAAAGTTTAAGCGTAGACTTTCCTTACCAGTAAGCAAACCTACTAACGGATTGATTCTAAAAATATTTCCTGAAGATGTTGTTTTAGTAATTTTAAAAGCTTATAAATTTTTCAGGGCCATGTTCTTTTTTAAGAATATCAATTTAAATTATTAGATAGTAAATTTAAAAAATAACAAACTCTTTCAGGAAAACAATCTTTTCAAAAATATCAAAAAACAACAAATCAACATACAACATTGTATTATACCAAAAGGAAATACGTCAAATCTGGCAAACGTATATACTAGATATTTTTCTTTAACAATCGTAACCTAAATGCTTATGACAGAAACATAGAATTAACTGGACCACCAATATTATAGTCAAAAGTACAATATGCAATCTCTACTTTAAAAAAATGCACAAATCCTTAAGCTATTTGACATTAAACGCTTATGCAAACTGTTTAACAGCATATGCAACAGGGGGCAAATACCAACAAAATGGCTACAATAAACCAATATACCAGTAGCTGAGAAGAACACCGTTTAATTCGATTAATAAGCTATGCATTAAAGGCACTGCTAAAAGTAATAAATAACAAATTTATAACAGATGTGAAGAAAAACCAGGAGAATTTTTTTTCAAAAATGACTTGGGAACAAGAGAAGCACTTTGTGTATAAAGTTTCTGATGTAGAAATGCTACGACCAAAGAAAATATGTTTTCATTTGCTTCATGGATTACCAAAAGGCTTTTGACAACGTCAGACATGAACTAATGATGCAGACGTTAAACGTGAAACGAAATTGGATTCGATGGTCTGATATAGGGTTGTATTCTCTACACTGTACTGTTTAACATTTATGTAGAAAAGATATTTCAGCTTGCTTCAACAGAACGAGAAGAGCATTAAAAATAATGGACTTTCTATAATATTCTAATATATGCTGACGATACGGTCATAGTAGTGGACAATATAGAGGAGCTGCAAGATTTAGTGAATATCATAAATGGAATGGGAGATGGTATGGGCTTCTTAACTCAATAAATAAACATAGCAAAAACCAAATATATGGTAATCAACAGACAATCCCATATGGAAGCTCAGTTGAATATAAACAACAAAGATAGTGAACGGGTTGAAAGAATTTAGAAATACCTTGGAGCTACATTAAACCGCAAGAGGAACTGTGACCTGAAAGTGAAAATCAGAGTAGCAGTGGCTAGAACACTGCTCTACGGCTGTAAGGCCTGGAAGCTGAAATCATCAGAGATACAAAAATTAGAAGCATTTGAACGCTGGTGCTATTGTAGAATGCTGCGTATATCGTGGATAGATAGATATATCGTGGCTAGACAGAGTTGCCAATATTGAAGTCCTACGCAGCGTTAATAAAAATGAGAAAGTCATTCAAACTATTAAAAAGCAAAATCTTGAATATTTTATACATGCCATGAGAGAATCAAGATACAAACTGCTATACAGTTAATTATGGAAGGTATAAGAGAAAGATGCCATACATAAAGTGAAAATTGAAAAGTTGATATTCATTCTTCAAGAGAAGACGAAACTTTCAGAAGAAGAATGGCTAGAAAAGTTTTCGTTAAATTTGATAAACATCTCCGCCGCCGTGAAGTGCCTTAACCCTTCGAAATACAAAATATGGCCCATCCTGATGTACGGAAATGAGACCTGGTCACTTAAAATAAAATCTCTTAATCGAGTGGCGGGTTTCGAAATATGCTGTCTCAGAAGGCTGCTTAGAATTCCATTGGAGACTACGTAACAAATAATGAGATCCTAAGAAGAGCCAATGTCCAAAGAGAATTGTTAGATTTCGCCAAATACTTTAAAGTAAAATGTTTAATTTGGAAGAAAATAAAATACAGTCGAAACGTAGAGTGTTATCTCCAGAGGAACGGCGTTTAGTTCTGAAAGTTATTTCAATTTGGAAAAAAAAATATGAGTCCATCGACATCTGTTATGGCCGTTCAGAAACGCACATACGATGCTTGCGGTATCTCAGAGAGGACATTCCGAAGAATTAATAACATGATTGAGGATCAAATAAATAAAGTAAGCAAGAGAAATCGTCGACATCCGAAAAATTTAGATTTGCACCAGTCAATTAAACTTGCAATTAAAAATATTATATATAATATGTATAAACCCAAAGAACATGTAACAAATAATGCTGTTTTACAAAAAATAAAAGACAAGGAACTGTGTGATATTAGTTTAACAAGTTTGTGGAAAGTGCTGAAACGTTTTTAACGAATTTACGTTTTCGATATAAAAAGACAAATAATAGACAAGAATTGTGTGAACACTAATGTTTTTTTCAAAACAGTGGCATTTTTTAAGAAAATACATCAACAATAAAACGTCTGATAGCCCGAGGCAAGTTGTATTTTTAGATAAAACTTGGATTTTCGATAAAGGAAAAATGTCAAAATCATCCTGGCAAGATGGCAACACGAAATGTTATTCTTCTAGTCGTTCCGGTAATGGTAAACGCTACATTATACTTCATGCTGGAAATGATGAGGGTTTTATTCCTGACGCTAGTTTAATTTTTTGTTACCATGGAAATATGGATGCAAATTTTTTGAAGAATGGTGTGAAAAAAATTTGTTAAAAAAATTGTAGCGACCATCCATAATCGTGTTGGATAAAGCATCCTACCACTCAAGAGTAGAAGAGAGATTTACTTCAAGCAGCTGGACAAAAGAAGAAATAAAGTTGTGGTTGACAGAAAAGAAAATTTATCACAGTGACATATTTTTAAAAGTCGATTTACTTCAAAGGTGTGGAGAGCACAAAATTCAAAAGACATTTGTTACTGACCAAATGGCTCTTAAATATGGCCATGAAGTTCTTCGACTTTCACCCTACCATTGCCACTATAACGCAATTGAGTTAGTTTGGGGTATACCAAAAATTTGTATGATAAAGATATATCCAAAACAACAGATGATGCTAGCGCTCTTAGTTTATGGAAAGAATCGCTAGAACAAATAAAGGAAGAATAATAGCAAAATTGTATTAGACATACGGAAGACATAATCGTTCAGTCATTTCAAACCAAGCAAGTTATAGGAGAGGTCAGGCCTCTAATTATTCGGATAGACAATTCAGATAGTGGCTAGTCTGATAGTAAAATATCAGACAGTGAATAGGACAAATCGTTTGCCAAAAAGAAGTAACAAAAAAGTGTTTCGTGAATTCAATTCGTACTTTGTGGTGTATTTTAGTTAAACGATAAAGTACCTTCGGTCTAATTACTGGACTGCATACTCTCGATAGCTTTGGTATTAATTACTAGACTGCACGTGTTTAAACCTTTCGTTTTGCTGAAAACTCGGAAGTGATTTAGTGCCAATTTGTTTCAAGGATATATTTAATACAGTGTCTGCAGAAAGTAAAGTCTTGGATGTATTTTATTAAAATTTGGACATACCGGCAGCTTGGCAAGTATTTTCCAATTTTACTGCATGCAAAATATTTCTTATAATTTTCACCCTACGCAAAATAGAGACTTATAAAGACCTTGATGAACATTTGATGTCGACAAATAATTTCGAGTAATCGAATGGACAAAAGCAACATTCATAGTTAAGAGTTATAAGAAACTGGTACCACATAGCTGATGTCAGTACGATAAATAATAGACCGGAAGAAGGATCTCTGTACATTCGACAACCAGCATGGACGCCTTACATACTGCATAGCGTACGGCACCCAACAATGAATTGAAGTGCCTTGGCAGTAATTGCACCATCAGAATGCCAATTACACATGTTTTCTATATTTTTTAGATTAAACATATATTCTCTATTAATAATTACATTCGTTTTATTTTTAATAGAATATGTATTCACAAAAGTTAGATCATTATATTTTTAAAAACTGGAAGGAATCATATTTAAGTGTTCGGCTTTTTTCAACAGTGTACATACTATATAATATCATTTACCTTAGTTTTAAATTTTTAACAATGTCGTCGCGAACTTTTTTAGTAGCTGTAGCAGTCACCGCTAAAATAGGAACATCAGGCATAATGTCTCTTAATTTACCCAGCTTTCTATATTGAGCTCTAAAATCATGGCCCCAACTACTCACGCAATGAGCTTCATCTATTGCTAACAGAACTACATCTAATGTTTTACTCCATTTTATTAGTAAGTCTGTAAAATACAATTAAAAACAATATGAGTATCAAATGACATAGATATATTTTTATATCATGCAGAAAATTCGGCTAAGTTTGCCCATTATACACAAAATTATTTAGACACCTCATAAATAATGACAACATAACTAAGTAAAATTGAAATTTAACGGCTATATCCAGTTTATATCTAAATACGAAATAAGAGTTTATTTTACACATTATGTTAAGTTAAAGAGATACTTCCGCGTTAATACGATTGATGGAAAGGAAAGAATATAATGACAAAAAGGAGACCAAAATGAACAGTCTAATATTCTTCCTACCGTTTTTTTTTAGGAGACCAAAGTTTAGACTTCCAACACCGCTGTATGAGCTGTTTTTACGATCTCCGTAATACACACGCGTGCTAGCCTTTATGTACTACTTAGCAGCCTTATTGCTCCCACTTTCGGCGTTTTTGTCCACCACGTCACAGACCCATTGGCCTAATAACCCTTGTGTATAGGTTCATTTTGGGATTGAGCCCCAATTCTTACCACACATCCTTCTACATCTACTCAAGGATATAGTAGCTTTCTGTATGGTTTTCAGTATGTGAGTATTCCATGTAAGCCTATAATCCAAATATACTCCTAGATATTTTGATTCTTTAGCAAATAGGTCTGTTCCTCCTAGCAACGGTGGTTTTAGGCCTTGTAATGTTGTCTTTTTAGAGAATAAAAGTCTTGTGTGGAGAGATTTTGGAAAAGATCATCTACCAAGGTTGCCCAAAGTAGAGGTAAAAGTTAAAACCGTTGTTCCGCCAGACTGTATTACTGCCCATATTTTTCCTTGTTTTTTTCAGACAGTTTTCATGGTAAGCCGCAATAATAGCTTCGCTTACCAAGGCTACGCCTTTAAACAAGTTCGTACTTTTCTCGAGATTTCTACTGAAGGATTCTCTACATGCTACCCAGTTTGTATCTCTAGAATATCTGTATTAATTTCCGATGGAAATAAATGGAAATCACATCGTATATCTCTGTGAACCGAGATGGTTCATCATACAAATACCAATTTGTTATAATATCATTTATCTTGCTTGTGCAGAGCGTTAAATCTTACACTTCTTTACACGTGCTAGTGACAAAAGTTGGTTTGTTTCGTATATTGGATATAATTAAATGGGCAAAGTGGTATGTATATCAGGCATTGGTGGAGAGCTTATATATTTTGGTGTATTAGTCATTGGTGGAGAGCTTATAATATATAACGGATCTTAAAAAATCAAAATATATATCGCAGTATCCGAGACAATTCTCGGATCAGCACACCTCCCATATGATGACGAACAACCACCACCAAGGGAAATGAAATAGCTAGTAAAAAATTGTAGGATAAATGGACTGAAAGAAAAATTAACATGAGGGCTTTCGAACTGAAGCGGATCAAGATTGATAAAGAGCTGATGAACTTGTTAGAAAAGGATCAAATACAGAATTTTTCAGTCCAGAATAGACTGTTTGATGGAGATTTAGGTCGCCTATCATGAATGAATTGAAGATGCACAATAAGCCAATTGGTTGAAATATGACTGGTTTATTAAAGACAGCTTCCGAAAAAAAATTGGAAATCTGATTTTGGATGTAAATTGCTGGAAAACATACCCACTATTTTTATGTACGTATTTTAAAGAGATTGTTTTTGTAAACAAAAACACGTTGTTAATGTTTGTCTGTCCAAATGTTGGAGAGAAAAAAAAAAGATAAATAACTATCAATTTTTAATTTATGGTAAGTTATACAAAATTTGTTCATAGTTTACACACAATTTAAAAAACAATAATATACAAGACGATCAATCAAAAAACACAAAGTTGATGGTGACTTACTTTTGGTTTTGCCTGAAATGATAGCACAGATTATCACATGTAAAAGTGCAATTTTTTAGGTTTTAAATCCAATTATTTCCAGAGTTGAGTCTAACATGTAGTGAAGTATGTGAGCATGAACAAAAATAATGTAAGACAATAATGCACAGACATTGGCATTACTTAGTCATTTATTAAGATAAGCACAAGCTGAAAGGTAGAGATACGCAATAAGAGTAAGAAAATTATATAAAGAATTTAAGACACTGAACACATAACAAAATTTAAGAAAAAAAAAGTGGTTCTAGCGCGAAGCTTCATACTAGTAATTTTATTATTTATTATTTTAATTATTGTGTACTTTTAACAAGCACGTGGTGAATCTATAGATGATTCAAATGAACAAAAAATAATATTTAAGAATTACATAAAACCGCTGCTAAGTAATATCCTTGTTCTAGATTCTAATAACATTGAAAAAGTTGACATGTTGTGTAACAGACTTCCATTCCAACTATTTCGTATTGCTAAATTCGTGGATTCGTATCGCTAATATAGAAGATTCGCTTCAAAAATTAAACGCATTACTAAGGAGAGAGTTAATGGGAGAAAATATTTTACAAAACAGGTTAAGCCTGTACTTTAATACCAGCGGATAATACTACTGACCACTACTAATAATATAACCATATTGAGCATCTCAAAAATAAACTGTCTATTCTTTGTTTCAAGTTAAGAAAATAACATTACGCTTATGGAGATCAGTGTTGCCAAAACTCTCAGACACTCTCTTTTGCACGGATGTCCAAGATATTCCCTTTGCTTAATTTTTGAATTTTCATTTTCAATTAACATTTAATTGTAAAGTCAGAATAACTACTAAATAAAAGCCTTATTATCATTATATAGTCAGAGAACGACATAAAATCGCTGACATGCGCACATCCTATTATTTTAAGTTGCAATTAGTAATTAGATATACGCATTCAAAGATACTAGATACTAAGATTTCTACTGATTTCTATGATTCATGGCATATCGTATTCTCACCGAAAAACAAATAAACTGTCGTTACTATAATTAAAATAAGATAAAATAAAATTATCTTTTGTAAATACTATTTATCTAATTAAAATCATTTTCCCTACTTTTCATCTCTTGTTTCGAATGGGCACTTTTGGTCAATTAAAAAACATTAATTTAATTCATGTTTGTGGAAACGAAAATACAAATTATACAACCCTAAATTGTGCTTGTGTGTGTCGTGGCAACGTCGCGTTGCTATCGTCCATAAGAAATACATGGCCCTATCTCCGCAATGTTATTTTCTAAACGTGGAACGTAGTATAGTACCGTTCGCGTCATAAAAAACTGGTACAACTCTTTTAATCAAAAATCGTGTTTTTTAAGTTGTGTACATTGATCTTGTCACATATGTCATTCTAATTTCTAGGGCACCATTGTCAGTTCAACGAAAATATTATATAAAACCAGCTAAAAGCAGGGCTGTGTGACAGACCGCCAGTTTTGAGTATACTAAAAACTAAAACATTATCGAGCATTCTCAGTCAGTCATTATCGATCAGTCAGTTACATTAAATTTATTTCAACATGCATCCTAAAAAATTCTATTAATTTTATAATTTTCCATCATCTCAATTCAGTATCCATACATTGATTTGTGTTTTATAACAATTTATGAAAATATTTCAATTCAAAAATTGTGATAGGTAATCAATCTAGACATAAATTATTATAATAAAACATTACAGTGAGATATTGGATTGTAACTGCCACGTTTTGAAAAGCGTTTTTTCGCCCCGAATATTTTACAGTTTATAATACGTAGGATAAAGTATAATGTTAGTTTTCCACAATTTTTATCTTTCTTATAATTAATAATAAATTAATCTTGGTAGTTTGCCTGTTACAAATCTTATTGACACAAAGTACAGTTCGTGTTTGGTAGGTATGCATTCCAATGTTCCCTGTGCCGATACCCTAGGTTTAAAGATCCTTCAAACATTTTGGATATTAACTCCTCCCTATCTCTGGTTATTTAATCTATTAGATACGGTTTTTTGTTGTTAATGATAAAAATAATACCTATCTAAAAATTTTATACATTTTTGGACGTTATTTTGTTATTTAGATTTAGTGCAATTCTGTTATCTGTGATGGCAACAACGAATTGATTCACGAATCATTGTGTCTAGTCTGAACACAGGTTTACATTGGGAAAAAAAGTGTACCGGTTTTATATGATGGGAAGTGTACCTTATTTTTACTCAGACAATTAAAACTTTTTACAAATGTTGATATCTTGAAAATAACGTACTTTTCTCTATTCTATTCATTTTTAAGCTATGGTGTTATCCTGTGGGGAAATTCTTGCAATGCAATAACAATATATAAATTGCAAAAAAAGCAATAAGAATAATTGCAAAAGTTAGATACTTGGAATCTTGCAAACCATTGTTTATTAAATATAAGTGTTCCAGAAATGAACATATTGTTTTAAAATATAAAATAAAAATGTAATTCTTTGACATTTCTTAGTGTAGAATAACTAGGACAGTCAACTTATCAAGTTTGAACGCGAGACCCGACTGAGTGGCGTCTAAATATTTTTCACTCATTCATACACAGTATGTAGTGTTTTATCAGTTCAAGTTGAAACATGGCCATCGAGGCATCGTATCGAGTAGTTAAAAACTCGCAATTCACGTATTAAATATTTCTCTTCGCCGAGAACGGGCATTTTCTCATACCGGTGTTTTTTCTTTTACACGTTATAAAGAAAGAGTACATTTGATATTGTATAGTAAGTTACAGCCCTGTTGGGCCTCTCTACTCTTAAAAGATTTAATTATAAATCGATAAACTCAACAGTGATTTTATTTCTCTGGAGCTATATTTGCTCACATTAAGAATACTTATCCTTCAACGGTCACTGAAAAACCAAACCTATAACGACGAACCCTAGGTACAGGGCTCACTCAATAAGATAATGCCCTTGCCAACATTATGGCTATACAGAGTTAATGTAGAAATACATAAAAACGCTGATATTTTAATTAAACACTCTGACTTACATAACTATAGCATAAGAGGTGCAAATAACATCAGAACAGTTAAGTATCGTTTGAGTAAATTGACTATAATATATACAATGTCCTACCTAAGGATTTAAAACAACTCGATGAATAAATTTAAAGTAAGTCTCAAAAGATACCTTTTGAGATTTGCTTTTTACTCTGTTAGTGAATACTTTGATCACTTCAAGGCAGTAACATGAACATGGATGTACTCATTATGTTGGTATATGTCTTATTTTGTATATTTTATGTTATGTTCATTAATATATTTTCATCTCCTATTGCATTTTGTGTATTTTATATATTTTTTTTTACTTATACATATAATTGACTTGCCACAAATGTAAAATTTGTAAACGTGGTTAAATAAATCTTGAATCTTGAATCTACTGTCCTCTAAACGGGATTGACATGCATGACATAAAAAAAATTTAATATTTCACTTAAAGTGCAGTGATGCGACTTCGTTCAAGTTTTGTAGAAACTAACTCTATTTTATTAACTTCATCAACACATTATAAACTGTAAACGTTAATTGTAAAATTATTAACCAGAAATACAAATTATGTAAAATACAGATGTGGTGAGACACTTAGACAGTCGAGAGCACAGTAATTTTCAAATAAAGTAGAAAATTGTACAAGAGTTTGCTATGGACCTCTCGAGGAACTCATCGTCTTGTTTGTACATATAGAAATGCTTTTTGAGTAAATGAGACTGGTTCAATAACAAACATCATCATTCTGTCCTGTGTGGGTCCTAGCCTCCTCAAGTAATTCTCTCCAGTTGTCCCTATCCATCGACTTTATTCGCCAAGCATGTATTCCCATATTTCTCATGTCTTCATCGATGTTATCAAGGAATCTTGTTCAGGGTCTTCCTCTTCTTTTCTGAAAAATGGGTCTATCAAGGTGCGTTTTGCTAGCTGGGTCATTTTGTTCCATCCGTATTACATGTCCTATCTTAATATGTTTTACGATATCAGGTTCCTAGTATATTCTATAAAGTTCGAAGTTATATCGTCTTCTTCACACTCCAGTGTCATTCACTGCTCCATAGATTCGCCTTAGTACTTTTTTTTTCGAAACATCCTAACATGTTTTCATTATTTTTTAGAGTCCAGGTCTCTGAACCATATGATAGGACTGGGTGTATTATTGTTTTGTAGAGTTTTATTAAGTAGCGCTCCCAGGTACACAAATTCGTTCACTGCTTCGATAACGTCGTTTTCTATACCAAGTGACCGTAGAATTTGTGGTTGCGTACTTATATCCATATACTTCGTTTTGTTGGTGTTTATTATTACACCCACTTTTATAGCTGATTCTCGTATGCGTTTTCCGTTCTCCCAACAATATTGATATCATCAGCATAGGCCAGGATTTGCAGTGATTTATTATATATTGAACTAGTGGTTTTAATTTGTGATATACATATTACTTTTTCCAGAACCAGATTGAACAGTATACAGGGAAGAGGGTCTTCCTGGCGCAGCCCTTTTTTTGTTTTAAAAGGTTCAGACAGTTCCCCAGCCTGGTATTTTCATGTTATTCATTCTGCATATGGTGCCATACAGTGACGTAGTACTGTGGAAAATATTTTATATACTGCATTTAGAAGCGTAATTGCTCTGTGGTAAGAGCATTCAAAGATATCTACGTTTTTGTGTATGGTGCAAAGTATTCCAATATTCCTTAAAGTCATTGGGATGAGATTTCTGTGTCTATATTTCTTTTATAATCTGCTGTTATGCCATTATGGTATCATGGCTACCTTCTTTATAAATTTCCGTTGGGAGATTATCTGTTCCCGGTGATTTGTTTCTGGCTAGTTTATTAACTGCATCTTTAACTTCAAGAATCAATAATAAACAGTGCAAGTAAAATCAGCTCACTAACATACATTAATAAATTTATTATTCCCATGTTGTAACATAGTGATAATACTTCACAAATCCAACAAAGTCTGGCTAATTGGTGTCACTGAAGCCATTAATACCAGAAAACACTCTTGACAGACTAATAGTATTAATAAAAAACAAATCATAGTTCACACTAACCTGTACCTAAATCCCCACAACAAAATTCGGGAGTTAGATAAACAAGTCTATATTTATTCTCTTCTATTTCACATATAGTAGTTGCTTGGTTTCTATTAGCTGTCCCTAGTAAACAAGCTGGAATATTAGCAACCTAGAATATAAAAAAAATTTAATCATAAAGTATCTAACTATGCTGTAGGTAGAGAAACACAGTATTGTATATATAATTGAGCAAATAACGTCACATTATTAATCACAGATTTAAAAAATATATATGGACATCACAGACTAAAATATATTAACATTATAAATTAAATATGCTGATCAGAGAGAAAAATAGGCCAGGCACTCCGCCACGGTATAGTGCTCAATGTTAACTAAGTAAATATAAAATGTTAAATATAAAAATGATGAAAAAGTATATATGAGAAAAAAATATTCATAAGTCAAGAATATTGACTGACAGATATCTAGAATTTAAAATAAAAGCCATCATAAAAAATATTCTGACAATAATTATTAAGAACAAAAATATTAAATCAAATCTGTAACTAAAAATTAGTAAATGTAAAACTTTCAATAAAATTAAATTAAGAAAATACCATATATAGGAAATAAAAAGAGATATAATGTTTTAAAGTTTGTCCTTTTAAAATAATTGTTGAAATAACCACTAAATGTATGTATATTGCAATTTGTGAATTTAAAACTGAGTGGGCAAAACAATTCTTATTTACTGATAATAACACTTTCAAGTCTTGCTGTTTGAAATAAGTATAGAATTTTGGTAGCAGTGGCCAAAAATTAATCTGGAGTGTCGTCACAAACTAAATTCATCACCAAGAAAAATCTTTGGTTTGGCAACAATATTTGTCCTAAAAAAGAAGTGATGAAATGGAAACAATGATGAAAAGTGTTTAGGAAAGCTATGCTACTTACGTACCTGAAAACTTTTTAGGAAGAAATGTTTGTCAAGTGCCTTTGCATAATCCACCAAGCATTGTCATGTGCCAAGGACCTAGATCTTTCATCAGTGATTAAGCCTGTATCAGTGTATCAATAAAATACATACTCAGTCTACCAATCGGTAGTTTGATTTTGGAATTTGAAAAAGTGTTATTTGCAATTTTTGGAGGAGAATGAGAAATGGAAAATGAATGGAAAATGAAAACAATATGGAATTTAGCTTTTTTGCAGATACAATTGAGCATTTCAACATATTATATTGAAGATTATGATGAAAATTCTCATTTAAAAATAAACAGTCACGCTTTATTCAGAATTCACTAGAAAAAAACTCATTCAGTTCAAATTCATGATAGAATCAGCCATCAAATTAAATAATTTTTCAAATTATGATAACTCTAAAATTGAATGTCAACTCTTAAAGCTCTTTGAGTATGAGATTCCAGGATTTCCAGGAGTAAAAGAAGGAAGGAGAGACAAAATATTTGAAATATAGAAACGAGCTGACTGAAGGATAGTCACAACCATTGAATTTAGTTTTCATCATCACTTATAATACTGCTGCAACACAGAACACATCATCAGTAAATAAACACACTGAAAATTATCTATCAGAATTCCAACTGGAAATAATAGATTCGCAAAGTAATATTTTGTTAAAAAAATAATCATAACAAACTTTTTTAACCACAAGGAATTCAAATTATATTGAATTTTGGAAATATATTTTAACAAATGATTCTCCATATATTTCAATTTTGCTTAGCTATTGTTGTCTTTTAAAAGCTTCATCATTGGCTCTACAACCCATAGTGGGTCTTAACCTATTCTAGGATCAGCTTCCATTCCTTCCTATCCTTTCCCTTGGTTTTTTAAATTTTGATAAACATGTATTGCAATACATATATTAGTAAAAAACCCCAACTTTGTGGCTTCATATATTTTGTACAAATTCTACCTATTAAAGGGATAAAGAGAATAATGATGGAGTTTTTGTTATAAATTTTTGTATGGTATGGATAACTTTTCATAAACAGTTAATCTATCAAGAAAATTTGACCCTATAAGAATTTGACAGAATTTTTGTGAATACTATGAGCTTGTTAAAAAGTATAATCTTCTTGCAGTGGCTATCCATTTCAGATGTTGATGACCTTCATAGAAACCAGTATTTTGCATATAGCCACTCTGAAAAGATTTGTGGTTGTTGTGTAGAACAACATACATAGATTTTTCAGCCAGGAAATCCTTTGCCTTCCTAGTCCTCATTTACCTTCTACTTTTTTCTATTTTTTGCTGTTCCTTGTGATGTGACGGAGGTAATTCGACTTTGGCTGTTTTTATTGTGATTTAAAGCTTTTTTTCTTTTTGTAATCTTAATAAAATGTCCAGATTAGTAACATTGTCAGTATAAGTTACCATTACGATTTGAAGATAAAGCCAAATTTCAAAAGATTCAATTCTCTTGTAGGAAGCAAGATCTATGAAAGTCCACAACTCAACTCTGCACAACAGTATAGGAAAGATATAAGTAATAACCTGATTTTTATGGATACTGATAAATCATGCCATTTGAATAGCTTAGCCATTTTTTGAAATGTAGATCTTGGCTTTATCTATCCTACATTTCATTTCTATGGAATGTAAGTGGGTGTTTTTACTCTTTCTATTGGTTGACCAATCCCACTGATTCTTCCAAATTGCTGTTCCTTCTTAGAGATCATCATACATTTTGTTTTCTTAATGTTTAATGAAAGTCCATACCTCAACTTACTTCTGTAATTCCATTCATTAATTCCTGGAGAGCTTAATAACTGTCAGCAAATACCACCATGTTGTCTGCATATCTGATGTAATTGATACATTCTCTGTTAATTCGAATTCTGGCTCAAACATTCAGTATTGCTTCTTGAATGATTTCCTCATGGCATATGTTGAAGAGCAGGGGTGATAGTATAACATCTCTGTAGGACCCACATTTGATTTTGATATCATAGGATTCTCCAGCCTCTCTATGGATAGACAATTTCAGTCGAGATTGCTAATAATTCTTAGATCGCAGCATATTTAACTCGTTATGGTAATCAATGAAGCATGCATAAATATCATAATTTACATCTTTTAAGTAGCACTTATATGATAAAGAGAGCCTCTCTTATAAACACTGCATTCCGAAAACCAAACTGTGTATGGCTGATTTTTTCTTCACAGTCTATATATCCTTTGATGTATAATTTCTAGAAATATCTTTAAAATGAGGCTCATTAAGCTGATGATCTGGAACTTATTGCAGGATACAGATTTTCTTTTCTTTGGTAGAGTAATAAATATTTACTTCAGCCATGTTCTTGGTATGTATTACTCTACTGAAATATATATCATTAAATATTTTTTTAGACATAAACTTTATGAGTTCAGCATATGTGTAATCAGGTCCAAGAGCTTTACCATGTTTTAGTTGTGTTATTACTTTTTTCACTTCATCTGATGTGATTGGTAAGTGGTCATTACCTATATAGGATGGAGGTTGTTCAGAACTATTATTATCAGAGTTCTTGTATGTATTTAGTCCATATGCACATTTCTTGATTTTTATCAGCGGCGGCTCGTGGCCTAAAAAAGTGGTGAAGATGAGGAAAGCTTGCCGGGGCAAAAAGGAGTTTTGGTACCTACGTCCCCCCAAATCTCATTAAAAATTCATTAAAAAAATGTATAGTTATATAAAAACTGAACTAATAAATACTATACTATACACTGTGAATACTAAATAGGTACCCATGCAACTAGTGGCCAGTGGATGAAGACGGATAAAATATTTTTCAACAGAACTGCACTAGCTATTTTTCTCAACTATCACTAGCGATAGGCTGACATCAAGTTGCCATGGCAACCGTGAACTCTTATGCAGATGGATTTCGCATTTCAAAAATGATATTCACCTATTCCTGAATCATACACAGCACAGCAGTGACACAGGTCAGGACTTGACCGTCAAGTACCTACTGCACCTCTAATAAAGCTAGCTGTCTTTTTTAATTTTTAGATAAATTAAAAGAGAATAAATAATTGATTTCAGAATTTAGATTTAATAATGTTGCTTTTATTTTTTATTTATTTGTCTCCATTTAATTATATTTTTTTGGTAAACCTCCTCACCTTCATATACTTCACCTGGCCGGCCGGCACTGATTTTTATCTGTGACTATGTTCTCCTATTGATCTCACAGTTTGCTAGCTGTATTGGATTTCTGAAGACCAGCTGCTTATTTAATCTTTTTTTTTAATAAAGTATAAATAAAAAAGTGTTACATATTTAATCTGTATTATTATGACCAGCAAACATTTAGATTAATGGAACAAACTATGCTTTCTTTTTCTTCTTAGTTCAGGTAAGACAGGTTAATCTCTGGCACTTGTCCATAAGACCTTTATAACATCAAACTGGACTTATAAAACTAAACTAGAAATTAAAACAACAACCTATCATATCATATCAACATTATTAGCAAAATGCTACAAGGACTATAGAAAAAACAAAATAAGAAAAACTGATGACAAACAGATGCTATTGAAATTATTAAAGATTTGCTCTAGAGGAATTGTGTTGGTATTTGAGAAAAAAAAATTACAAAAACAGTATTGAACCATGGTTTTTGTGTAAAATAGCAATATGGATATGTATTGTATACATATATACCGAAATATATAGAACATCTGACTAAAAGATAGTCTCAACCCTTGAAGTCAGTTTACATCATCACTTATAATTCTTCAACACATCAGTTAATGATGTTTAAAATTCCTTATTAAAAATCTATTAGTTTGCAGAATTAAAATACAATGAAGAACAATTTTCTAAGTGACTCTAAAAGTCACTTAAAAAGTTGAAAAATATTACACAAAACTTACTTTTAAAGCTAAAACTTGGTCTTCCATTAAAGAGATAAGAGGTGAAATAACAAATGTTACACCACCTCTATATACTGATGGAAATTGGAAACAAAGTGATTTTCCATAACCTGTAGACATGATAGCACAATTATCTCGTTTACTGTTTAATATTGAACTAATAATTTTCCATTGCATCGGTCTAAATTCTTTATGGCCAAATAAGCGTTTTAAAGCATCTAAATGTTTGGCCTGAGGACTGTCTGAATCTGAATTATCTTCAGTAAAAGAGGCTTCTGCATCAGCTAAATTCTAAAATACAAATAGTTATTATTGCCTACAGATATTTAATACCTATTAGCTCACATTTAACATATCATCATCCCATTCATCATCAAATTCTGCCAGTTCATCCATTTTTTAATTTCTAAAAATTAACTATAATATACAAAAATCCTGAATTTCAGTTTTTGAACAAAACCAAAAACAAAAAATGACATGACAGTGACAACCGTTTTTGCCTCCCATTGGTTAACGTAAATACAATTCTTCTATCAATAAAACATAAAATTTTTAAATTCCAGAAACAACCAGGAAGTAATAATATGTATTAGCAAAAACAGTCTTTTTTAATCTTCAGTAGTAAACCTGCTTGTACTCATAAATTATAATACATTTAATTAAGGTTTATACCTACTGAAATTTAAGCACTTATTCTACTTTTACAGAATCTACTAAAATTTGTAAATTTGTGCTGCTTTTTCTGGGTAGACGTCAACTGTCACTAGACAGCTGTTTTATGAATTTATATTTTGAAACCAAAACAAAAATTAAATCTTTAAACTTTAAATTGATATGTTAGAATTTCAAAATGTCCCTTACTCCTGGGAATGTCAGTAAAATAAGTCCATATGCTACTGGAATAAGTAAAAGTCTTTTAACACCATGCCGTAGAGTGGGTCTATCTAGGAAAAGAAAAACACCAAGTAGTAGTACAAAATTGTTGTCTAATGATTTAAATAATTCAAACAGTAGTCTTCTTGAACAAACTATTTCTGAAACTACTCCCATAAATAAGAAAACTAATGTTATAAGAAAAAGTAAAGTTGTGTTCGATAGTCACAAAGAAACAACTTTTGAAGATTCTGAAATTGTAAAAACAGAACATAGGGCTAAGAAAAGTCTTAATAAATGTTTTAAAAAAGAAACACATGTAGTAGAAATATATAAGGAATCGATAGAACACATAAATTCAAGTAAAGAAGTTGAAAACATATCTAAGCAAGAACCAGTCAATATAGGTAAAAGTAGTGTTAGCATTAGCAACAAAGAATTCAAAGGTTATGAGACTGTGTCTTTAGATCATCAACCATTATATAATAATGAGATCGAAAAAATCAATGGCAATATTTGTAAATCTTTTAATTCGCTGCATGTTAAAAATGATTCCATCAGTAAAGTGAATTCTATTTCATGTGAATTTAATGACTTAGAAGATCAAACAGTCAATATCGAGTATTGCAAGGAAAATATTTCCGAAAAAGGTATAAAAAGTAGCACTTTTAAAAAAGACCATAATGAAATAATTACAGATAAAGTAAATGAGCAAGTAAATACTGATGTGGGTTGTGACATCAAGGTACAAGAGGATCTTGCAAAATTAAAGGCACATGAGAAAACAATACTTGCAGAAAAAAATGAATCAAATGTCATAAAAGACTGTAAGATTTATATTCCAAAACTTAGTGAAGAAGATATATCAACTTTAAGAGGTAATATAATACTATTTTTTATTTGTTTTGTTATTAGTTTATCTGCATATTTAGAATCTTTTAAAATGATTTTTTCAATAGTGCTACAGCCCAAATTGAGCTTTAGATTCATATAATTTCTGCATCCAATGTATGCAGTTATGCATCACTCATCTCTAAGTTCTAATGTTCAGCAAATTGTGTGCATCCATTGTCACTTCGCTTCGCTATCTAGCAGTGGCGATAGAATACTGCTATGGCCCTGCTTCCTGTCTGTCATGATAGATGACTTACGGGAAGGAATGAAAGGTGAAATTGCAGTCATTTGATGTATCAGGTTCACAGAAACGCATGCAGGGCGCTTCAGCATAACAGTCACTGGTTGGTGCTCCTGTTTACATATATCTGTTTAAAGTCAATAAATATATTTTGAACGTCAATATTGTGTTCACAAAATTTATTTAAATTTTGTTGTACAGTCAAAAGCTGATCTCCCTTGCTCCTGAAAAGCATTAACAACCAAAGTGATAAGAAATAAACCGAATGAAATTATATTACTAGCAGAAGAACAACAAGGTTTTAGGTCGGGAATATCATGCATCAGCGCTATGTTTATAATGAGGAAAGTGCAAGAGAAATCATTAGAATACAACATACCTGCATATCTATGTTTTGTGGACCTTAAGAAGGAATTTGACAGGTTCAAATTAAAGGACGTTATTCACTTATTGTACGAAAGAGATACATCTAGGAATAATCAAAAGCCCGAAAAGATCTAACAAAAATACAATAAAAGTAAAAATAGAAGAACTAACTGACTCGATTGAAGCTGGCAATGGAATAAGATAGGAAGATTCCCTGAGTCCTCTATTGTTCAACCTAATCGTGAAGGAAATAATACTAAATGTAAGAACTAAAAAAGGATATTAAATGGGAGAAAAACAACCTAACACAATCTGCTACTATGTGCAGACGACGCAATACTACTCTCTCAAAGTGAAGATGATTTACAATGTATTCTACACCAATTTAATATCATTATTATCAACCTGTATGCGACCACTGCTGGACATAGGTCTACCTCTGCTCTTTCCATCTGTCTCTGTCTTGTGCGGCTTGCATCCAGCTATTGCTAAAACGCTTCGGTCGTCAGTCCTTCTACTTGGTAAGAGTCCACTGTACCGTGCTTTATGTCTTGGTCTCCACTCGACAATACGTTTTGTCCATCAGTTTTCTGATAATCTGGCGCCGTGTACTGCCAATTCCATTTTAGCGACGCGACTTTTTCATTGGCGTCTGTTGTTTTTATTCTATGACTAATTTTTTTGTTTGGAATTGTTTGTTGGGACACCCAACATCTGGCTCTCCATAGCCCTCTGTGTCACGTGAATCTTATTCACTTTCATCTTTTTTCTGATTATTAATGTTTCCTTTCCATAAGTGAGTACAGGTAACACACATTGGTAAAAGATTTTCCTTTTGAGTTATATAGATATGTGTATCATACGAATGACAATAGATAGTAAATAAAATGAGAGATGGTTCCCCAATAGAAAGATGATCAACAGGAAGACCACAAAAATGATGAAACAATAACTTACTGGAGGCACATTGAAAAACAGACTGAGTCATATCTAAATAAAAGGAAGAAGAATTACAAATTTAAAAAGCACAATGGATAAAGAGTCTCCTTGTCTGAAACCTGTGTTCGCTTACATTCATCTATTTAGAAGCCTCTATATACTACATGATTTCTTGTGTTATTCAGTGTCATTCTTACTAGTTAAAATCTATGAACAATGCATGTAGGATTATCTTATGCTCATAGTAGGTGGCTCGGAGTTCTTTTACTGGAAAAAATCTGAGCCGTAACTCTCCTTATCTCTAAAACTGGCTTGAAATATCCAAACTTATCTTCCGAAAATTTGTGTAGTCTCTTTCTTATCACCCTCAACAGTGTCATAACAGCTATTCAGCAGAACGATAACTTTGAAGTTTTCACATGGCAATCTATTGCGCTTTTTGTATATAGGCATAGTAAAGAGTTTATCTAGTTTTTGAGAACATTTTCCTCTTCCCATATCTGTCATCCCATTAGGTTATACACTCTATTTGAAACTCTTCATCTCCATTTTTAACTATTACGATTTCTCTCGGCCTTTTGTTATTTTTGAGCCCCTTTATTATATTCTTAATAACTTCTTCACTAGGTACTACTATTATTATTTCATCTTCCTCATCTCATAAAGATCTCATCTTTCATCTCATAAAGAGATTTTCGTTATACTGTATATTTTGTGCATTTAATAATAAAATTACAAGTAGTTATTTACCTTTATTGGAAATACAAACTTAGGTTTTTATACGAGTAAGTATTTCCGAACAAAATTTACGATTATACTTCCTATTCAATAAGTTTTATTTTTGTTGTGCATATTTATCATTATAGAACACAGAAACCATGACTTTTTTCTTTATTTTTCGTCTTTTGCATGTCATCCTGTATTGAAATGTCATATCCCTACATAGGTTTTCAAGTTAAAACATTCGCACAGCATACTTAGTTTATTTTCATATTTTATTAGCAAAGGATTTTCCTTCCATGAATATATTATATGCCTGTGATCACTAATGGTATCAAGCGCATTATTATTTATTTAAGGCTCGAGTTTAACAATCTTTGTAGTTTTACGTGTCTAGTGGTTTTTAATACTTACCTAAAAATAATAATTTGAGGTTTACAACCCAAACACCTCGCCATATAATATTATTAAACACTATTAACAATAACTAAGATATTTATTTTTAGGCGATCCAACGCCTATACCATTCTCTGATGACGAGGAAGAAGAGATAATTACGGTTAAGAAAAAGAAGAAAACAATCCTATTAGATGATGATGAGGATGATTTTCATGAAGTTTCTAAAAAAAATCACCAGAAAGCCAGTACACAGTCCCCCAAAAAATTAAATGATAAAAAATCATCTAAAGGGAAGAAATCATCAAAAGAGAAAAAGAAAATCTCGAGAATTTCGTCAATAGCAAGTGTGAGCACAATTGAAGATGATGACGATGCTTTTACATCAACTCCAGATAGAGAGAAAAATGAAAAACAAGATTTAATTGTTAAAGTTAAAGCACTGGAAAATATTATCAGAGACAAAAAAGCAAAATTAGACACTTTAAGAAGAGCTTCTGTATACAAGTCAAAACATAATATTGAAGAATTGAAAATTATTACTGAGAAGTGGAGGCAAGGGTGTATTTTTGGGCTAAATGGACTTCTAAGTCAACTGCAAACTCATGGACCAATCGATATGTCTACTCTTTTAAGGAATTTACAAATTCCAAATGAAGTGATAACTAAAGTATTCGTTGGTGTTACGTAGATTTAAAACAAATGACGTGTACCTAATATTCTAGAACTGTATTCTAAAATCTCGTATGACTGATTTAAAATAAATCAATTTCACCCCTGCTTTAATTTAAGGAGATGATTACCTATATTCTTAGTAAGTATTTCTAGTGGCAACAATATTTACAAAGCAACATTGGATGCACTTGAATAATATGGGTAATATGTTTGTGTTAAATCTAAACCAAGAAAAAAGATATTGAAATTTAATAATAATTATGTACAAATAGTCAAAAATAAATAATTACTTTATGAATACTGCATTTTTTATTTAAAAGAAGACCTCCGTAACATTAAAAAGCGTTTCTTTGTTTACAACTAACATATGTATAAAGTTTTTACTTAGCTTGATACATAGAAAAATCTACTTCACATTATAACTACGGACTGTAATCTACAGTCAATCAACTTTTGGTAGATGTAATGATCAACAAGCCCTAAATAGAACTGTAAAATGTTAGTTACCGGAAACCAACACACATAAACAGGTGCCTAAACCAATTATCACATCACCAACCATCGCAAGTACAAGGAATTATCAACATTTTTTTTTAACAAATTCTTTAAAAATAGAGGATGACTTCCGCCAACAAAAATGGCTGCAAACATTATAAACAATCATTTTATGGTAACCACAGTACGGTACGGAATCTAAATCGATAAAAAAGCCTTTAATTTTAATAATTTCCGGAATAATTATAAACCTTAGTCCGAAATTATTGTTTCTCAAATTTCGGCTGCGATAACGGCAGGAGTTGTGTAACACATGACTAGCGATCATATTCCCTATGCTAATATTCGTAGATTGTTAAAATAGGCAAAATCCCTTTCAGAATACCAAGGATATTTCAATCAATGGTGACTGATGGATTAGCCTTGGAGAAAGTATTTTAGCAGGATAAGACAGTTGAACCAAGAAAGAGCGTCGAAAAGAATGCAGAAGTGAAGAGGAATCTGTTCCTAAGATTTTTTGGCATAACCAGGTTTGCTAAGTTTGACCTCATAAAAATTGAAAATCCTTTTAGAAATGTAGTGACAAATATTTTTTGACATATGGGTATATTATATCAGTCTAACTTAAGCTGGTCAATGTGGTCAGACTCTTGTGGTCAAGATTCAAGTGATAAAATTAAAGAATATTATGCCTCTCAAAAGACTTTTAAAGATTACAGGACCTCAAGCCCGGTGACGAGCCTCGGACTAGCACAGAAAATAGACAAAGGCGAGAAAAAGGACGACGAACTGGAAAACGAAAAATATAATGAGAGTGGCGACGCACGTGGAACATAAAAAGCCTAAATAACCGAGATCAGGAAATAGAAAAAGAGTTGAGAGATATCAAATAGATATATGCGCCCTACAGGAAACAAAGAGGAAAGGTAAAGAACAGACGCGGCTTGGAGAATTTATTACTAATATATAGTAGGGTTCCGAAACAAGAAAGAGTAAAGGAAGCTGTAGCAATAATGATCAAAACAAAATATAAAGATCAAATTAAAGAGTGCCAGTACATATCTCAGAGAATACTTTCAGTAAAAATTAGGGCGAACAGCAAAATTATTAACATAATAGGGATATATGCACCAGAAGACTGCAAACCTGACAGCGATAAAGAAGAATTCTATGATGAGCTACAAACATTAGTGGAAAGAAAAGTGAAGCAAAATGAATTACTTATATTATTGGGAGATTTAAATGCCGGAATAGGAGAAGAAGTAATACCAGGAATAAAACAAAGGTTTAACGAAAGAGTTATCAATGAAAACGGAAAGAGAATGGTGAAATTCTGCACATCAAACGAACTGAGAATAACCAACACATTTTTTGATCATAAAATTCAACACAAATACAAGTTTGAAAATACAAGAGGACATAAATCAATGATAGATTATGTGGTCACAAACAGAAATATTCACCATAAATAGATACTGGATGTGAGAAGCTTGATGTCAACCAATGTGTCATAAAATCATTATATCAAAAAAGGCTAGAACAGAAAATACAAATGGAGAATATCGAAAATGAAAGTAATGTAGAGACTATCTGGAGAAAACTTAAGAAAATATTCTGGATGCTGCCCGAGAAGCCCTTGGAACGAAAATAACAAACAAAAAGTAGTCAACGAAAACACCATAGTTTACACTAGAGGTTAAACAAAAATGTCACCAAAAAAAGAAAGCTTTCCTAAAATATAAGTCAGAAAAAACGAATGAAGAATATAAAAGAATAAGAACTGAAATTCATCAATTGGTAAGAAAAACAAAAACAGATTACTGGGAAAGATTCACAAAAGGACTAGAGATGGATTTCTATGGACAACAGAAACAAGTATTTCGCTTCATAAGACAACAAAGAAGGCAAATGAAAGAACTAGTTGAAATATAACACATACAAGAGGATACATGGGTGGCCTTCCTGACAGAAATGTTTATTAAAAAACAAAACGAAAAACCTTTATTAGAAACGCCAAATATAATAACTAAGGAAAAGACTGAAATCTCCCAAAACGATGTGAAAGAAGGAATAAACAAATTAAAATCAGAAAGTCTCCAGAAGAAGATCAAATACCAAATGAACTCTTAAAATACCTATGGAGTTGATTACCTTGTACAACAACTGCAACTTCTTTTTAATAAAATAATCACCACGAACAGAATACCAGATGAATAGAGGAGAGCGATCATGGCGATGTTAAACCTTTTAAATACAACACTCAAATTGACAACAAGAACAATAGCGACAAAAATAAACGAACGAATATCTCTGCAAGAGGAAAAGCAAGGATTTCGGACAGGAAGATCATGCACGGATGCAGTTTTTGTAATAAGGCAAATAAAAGAATAGTCGCTGGAATACAACAAACCAGCATATGTGTCTGATAGATTTGAAAAAAGCGTTTGATAGAGTGAGAATTCGGGACGCGATACATTTATTATATGAAAAGAGAATATAACTGGATTTAGTAAAAACCATTGAGAATAGATATAAAGATAACATAGCTATGGTAAGATGTAAAGGAAAACTATCGCAACCTATCAAATATGAAACTGGCATTAGACAAGGAGATTAGCTGAGCCCATTAATATTTAATCTAATAATGGATAAAATCATAAAGAAAGTTAAAAAAGAAGAGGATAAAGAATGGGAGAAAAGGAAATAAGGATAATATGCTACGCCGGCGACGCCATAATAACAGCCGAAAATGAAGATGACCTACAAAGATTAATTAAGGAATTCGAAGATACGGCGCTCATATACAACATGGTTATCTCAACAGAGAAAACTAAAGCGATAGTGATATCAGCGGAACCGAGACGATGTAAACTAGTCGTAAATAACAAAATAATAGAACAAGTGATGGAAACTGAATACTTGGGAATAAAACTGTCAAGCTACGGAAAAGTGGAAGAAGAAGTATAAAAACAAGTGAACATGACAAACAGAACAACAGTATGTCTCAAAACACACAATCTGGAGAATCAAATACCTCACAACGGAAATGAAAACCAGGATATATAAATCAACAATAAGACAGATAATTACGTACATAGCGGAAACAAGAGCAGATACGGCGAAAACATAAAGACTGCTGGAAACAACAGAAATGAAAGTCTTACGAAAAATAACGAGCCAAACTCTAAGAGACAGAGTAAGAAGTGAGGAAATACGAGCGAGATGTGGTATAGAGGAAATAAACGCGTGGACCAAAAGAAGAAAAGTGGAATGGAATCAACACAACGAAAGAATGACAGAAAATAGAATAGTACGAATAGCAAGAGACAAATCGCCAAATGGAAGAAGATCATCGGGACGACCGAGAAAAAGATGGTCAGACAACGTCAATTGAGGCTAAAAACCGAAGAAAAACAGGCATTAAGCCTATTTATAAAGTAGGAAGAAGAAGAAGAATCAAACAATACCTTGAAAGGGTGACATCGATTAACAAACTCTATAAAATAAGATTCTTTCTTGAATACCTGACAAAACTATACCTACTTCTTTTTAATCCCTCTAGATTTTTATCTATCGATGAGTCAATGGTTAAATTTACCCAAACCCATCAAAAGAGGCATCAAAGTTTGGATTATAGCTTGCAGTGTTAAGTGGGTTTTGTATCGGAATTTGTATGTATGAAGGTGCTGATCCTGAAGCTGACAAAACTGTAAGCCTGGGTGAAAGGGTGGTGCAAAAATGGAAAAGTTTCTTGAAGGATTTGGCTTCCGAATTTTTTTGACAATTTCTTTTCATCTATAACCTTAACTAAGAAATTTTTTCTAAAATATTTTTTAGTTGTGCTACAATTTGTTAGAGAAAGTTCTTTCTAAAAAACCGCCGAGATTTAAAAACAGGTCAGTCGGATGCAGTAATAGATGGAGACGTAGTAGTGTTAAAGTGAAAATAAAAGGGAAAAATCAGTCTGCGTTGTAAATACCATGCATGATCCACTGAAACGTGAAAAACTTCTGAGAACTCAAATTACTCTCGAGTGGCATATCAATATTCTGTAATAGAGCTAGGGTTGATAGTTTTAATTTATTGTTAACGTGTTCGACACTACTTCAAAATGATTGCAACCACCGACAGAGTGGCCCTCTCATGGATCTCATACATAATGAATCAGTAGCTAACAAGACATTCATCAACGCGCAAGCACGGGTTAGCGCCGAAAATGTCATTCTCAGTGCCGCTTCTTCAAACGCCTGACATCACCTAGCGTTGAGACGCAAGTTTCTACCCTGCCAATCACATTCCAACAAAAAGGTAAGTGAGCTTTCATGAATTGATATGATTTAATGAGTTGTTAATAAGAGGTAGTTATTAAGATTGAAAGATTTTTTATAATTAATATATTAAATTATTTTTAATTCCTTTTAACCCCGTGATGATACGCTGATGGTCGTGTTTACGATCAGAAATTTTTATTGGGAAAATACCTAAATGATGACTGAAGAATCTACCTACCTATTTATTTATAGACGCCGGTTTGGCTAATTCTTAGTTAATCCTTTTTCGGGTTCTTTTTCATAAAGTCGGTAATTGTTGTCCAACGCCTGTTGTAATGTTTTTCGGGAAAAACCTAATCTAGAAGATTTATATTTTATCACGTCCAATTACTATTACCGTAAATACCTCAAACTTTCCGATGTCGTTGGAATCTTACCTTCTCAGAAATAGATACAGGCTGACCTACGATTTTTAAGAGGGAGATATCCCTTCTTCTTTGTTTGATTTAAGTTTTGGTAAAATTTTAGAAGAAT